TGTTTGCTCTTATTTCCACCCTTTCTTCCTGACCCAAACTCCCCCAGGCCGAATCTTGTTCCTGTGGGCAGATATATCACTCTCCACAGAGCAGAGATTCTCAGACTTCTATGTACTTACAAGTCACTGAAGAGTTTGTTAAAGTGTAGCTTCCTGGGCTTAAGATTCGGACTCAACAGATCTGAAGTAGGACCCAGAAATCCACATTTTAAGCATATTCTCTCAGTTACTTCTGCCAACACAGGCAGGCAGTCCTCAGATCACACCTAGAGAAATAAGACGGAAGTAAAATAACCTATAATCCCAGCACTTTGGGAGGCCAAGGCAGGTGGATCACCTGAGGTCAGGAGTTTGAGACCAGCCTGGCCAACATAGTGAAATTCCATCACTACTAAAAATAAAAAATAAGCTGGGCCTGGAGGTGCACACTTGTAATCCCAGCTACTCAAGAGGCTGAGGCACGAGATTCTCTTGAATCCAGGAGGTGGAGGCTGCAGTGAGCTGAGATCATGCCACTGCTCTCCAGCCTAGGTGACCACAGGGAGTGAAACCCTGTCTCTAAATAAATAAATAGAGTAAAACATCTCCGTCCAGGTTTCTGGAATCTTGCTAACTTATTATAAACATGGTTATAAAATCTGAAAACTTCTCAGAGTTAGAAACTCACCAATAGCTTTAGCGTAAAGCTCAGAAAGTATTTCAATAAATGTGGTGTTTCCAAAGATACTGATACGGTTTCTTTTGTTTTTTTTTTTTCTTTTTTTTGAGATGGAGTTTCGTTCTTGTTGCCCAGGCTGGAGTGCAATGGTGTAATCTCAGCTCACTGAAATCTCTGCCTCCTGGATTCAAGCGATTCTCCTACCTCAGCCTACCAAGTAGCTGGGATTACAGGCACCTGCCACCACGCCTGGCTAATTTTTCGTATTTTTAGTAGAGACGAGGGTTCTCCAGGTTGTTCAGGCTGGTCTTGAGCTCCTGACCACAGGTGATTCGCCCCCACCCCGGCCCCCACCTCGGCTACCCAAAGTGCTGGGATTACAAGCGTGAGCCACCATGCCCGTGCCCAACCGACATGGTTCCTTTAAATGCTGTCTTTCTCGGAGAGGATTGAATCTAGAATTGAACTCCAAATAACCCGACAACAGCTGAGCTGATGGCACATTACATTTGAGTCATCTCAGTCTCTTGGCTCTTATGTGTTTTAAAAGTAGTATTTTAGATGTCTTAAATATCTGGCATTGGTAATGGTGTGTGGTAAAGCCAAAATTTTTGTAAGGTGGCCAACATGTCGATTCTATTTCAAGCAACAGGATTAGTTATAGAATCTGAAGGTAGTATAGAGAATATTTTGATTTTTTTGAGGAGAGGAAATTAAATGATCAGCCGTGCATTATCTGCAGGTGAATTTGCTGTTGTTACAGAGTTAATCTGTTAGCTTGTAAGTGTTTGTGGAAGCTTAATTAGGTTCTTTGGGGATAGAAACTTTGGCTGACCTTAGAAAAGGATTGTTTTAAATTAGTTAAATTAGTTAAAACTGTGTTGTATTATCAGCTCAGTTGCAAAGAAGTTGTGATCTGCTATCCTTTTAAGTTCATGCCTAAAAACAGGATGTTATGTATGCCTCTAATAAAGTGGGAAATAAAGGAAAATAAAGTTTCTTCATAAACAGATTTTCTCAATGAGGCTTTACTAATTTAGAATTACTTTCCAGAACATTAGAGAATCCCATTTAGATTGGAGGGGGATAAACATTCTAAGTTCAGATCCTGTGGAGCCATATTTGAACATGAAAGAATGTAAGGTAGAGAGAGTTCTGGAGAGGCATTGCCAAGAAACGAAGCTCATAGGAAGTCATGACCTTGTGATTACCCTCTCTTAATCCACAATCCTGCATCTACCTCACTGTACATGATGGTTCCTCATCATCATCTTACAACTATCATGTCCACGTATGAATTTAAGCATTGTGAAGACTCCATTTTGGGAGAATTTATAGAAGATGTAATTGATCAAAAACATTCTTAAAACTGGAACTTCTTTAGTGCCACTCTTATCTACATGGTGTTTATATTTCCTGATAACCACTGTATTTTGTGTATCAGGGTTAATTTATAAATAAGGTGAAAGAAATGGGTAGTCGTAGTTCATGTTAAATATTTTATTTTTAATTAATTTTTGTTTTAGAGACAGGGTCTTGCTAGGTAGCCCAGGCTGGAGTGCAGTGGCGCAATCATGACTCACTGCAGCCTTGAACTCCTGGGTTCAAGCGATCCTGTTGCCTCAGCCTCCCAAGTAGGAGTAGCTGGGACTACAGGCACGTGACACCACTCCTGGCTAATTTTTAAATTTTTTGTAGAGATGAGGCGGGGGACCGAGGGTGGCTCTTGCTATGGTGCTCAGGCTGGTCTCGAACTCCTGGCCTCAATCAATCCTTCCACCTCGGCCTCCCAAAGTGCTGGGTTATGGGCGTGGCTACCACGCCCAGCCTAATTATTTTATTTTTAGGTGCATAATGGGCTTTGACGTCAGACAGATCGGGATTTACGTTCCAGGCTCTCCTCATTTCTGGTAGTGGATACACAACATTTCTAAGCCTCAGCTTCTTCATTCATAAAATGGTGCAAAATGGGGGTTAATAAAAGAGCAAAGATGTGAAGATTAAATGAATTGAAATGATATGCAGGCCTTGATCCCTTATCTAAAAACTTGGGGGCAAATATGTTTTAGAGTTCAGAATTATTTACAGTTTAGAAAGTTAATACGGTACATGCTACATTGCACAAAATTTCCAGCAGGTTCTGGGGCAGTACCGTAAAAAAGCACATTGGTTTTTCTGAAGCAAACATGTAACTATTCATATAGTGTTTATAAATATTATAAATAAAGACTATAAACAGCATGACATCAGTTCAGGCTAGTTTTGAAGCTAATTGAGTTTGTGTCAAATTTATAAAAAATCTATAAGGACTATAGAGAGCATGACATTCGATCAAGCCAGGTCTAGAGGCCAAATGAGTTTGGGCCACTTAACAAAGATTTTTAAATTCTGAACTGCATGAAAAAACATATAATAGAGTCTAGTATATTGCAAGACCTTGAAAAATTATTAAAGCTTCTACTTAGACAGTACTTTATGGCACATAGAGTACAACACCTGATGTTTACGTCAATAAAAATTGTATGAGGGCCAGGTGTGGTGGCTCATGCCTGTAATCTCAGCACTTTGGGAAGCCAAGGAGGGAGGAACACTGAACCCAAGAGTTTGAGACCAGCCTGGGCAACATGCTCCGACCATATCTTTACAAAACAATTTTAAAAATTAGCCAGGCATTGTGGCGTGCACCTGTGGTCCCAGCTACTCAGGAGGCTGAGGCAGGAGGATTGCTTGAGCCCAGGAGGTTGAGGCTGCAATGAGCTGTGTTTGTGCCAGTGCACTCCAGCCTGGATGATAAAGTGAGACTCTGTCTCAACCAAAAATGGAAGAAAGAAAGAAAAAGAAAATAAAACAGTTATATGATGATGATGTTGGTATTATTATCATTCCCATTTTATAGATGAGAGGTAGAAAAGGTGAATAGTTGGGCACAGTGTCTCACACCTATAATCCCAGCACTTTGGGAGGCCAAGGTAGGAGGATTGTTTGAGGCTACAAGTTCAAGACCAACCTGGGCAAGACTTCATGTCTACAAAAAATTTAAAAATTCTGCCAGGAGTGGTAATATGCACCTGTAGTCCCAGCTACTCGGGAGGCTGAGGTTGGAGAATCACTTGAGCCCAGGAGTTCAAGGGTGCAGTGAGCTGTGATTGCACCACTGCACTTCAGCCTGGGCAACAGAGCAAGACCTCTAAAAACAAATACAAAAACCAAAAGGCAAATAGAGTTAGTTCCTTGCTTAAGGCTACACAACTAAGTTGGAGCATGAGGTTTTGACCTCAGGCATCCTAGCTCTGAGTCTGTGCTCTTAACCTCTGTGTTATATTAACACTAAATGTTAGCTCTTGGTCTCTTTGGGAGATCAAAGATAAGTCTAGTTATTTCTGTGTTACAGAGTAATAAAAGCATTGTCACACTGAGGTAGATCCTGCCCCGAATTAATCTCCTTTTAACTATGGCACACTTACTTGTTTACATGTGGCCTTATTTCACCAAGGAGCCGAAATGGCTTATTAAAATACATGCAACCTCAATGATTAAGTGAATAATCAAGGAAATTAGGGCAAAGGGAAGGTGAGGGATACTTAGGTGTGAAATGATTTTTACTACTATCTATATGTAATGTAGCCTGTGTTCAGTGTACATCAATAAAAATTTTATTTTGTAGATCTTTGAGCTTTAGTCCTCAAGTCATCTTTTTTTCAGTATGACTCAAAGAAAAAGTTCATTATCCAATGTACTTAAAATTTTTTTCTTTTTATAAATTATGAAAATTTTACATTTGTATATTTAGGAATACAAAGGCAGATTTCTTTCTTTTCTTTCTCTCTTTTTTTTCTTTCCTTTCTTTCTTAATACAAGGGCAGATTTCCTTCCTTCCTTCCTTCCTTCCCTCCTTCCCTTTTCTTTCTCTTTCTCTCTTTCTTCCTTTCTTTTCTCTCTCTCTCTTTCTTTCTACAGGGGCAGATTTCCTTCCTGCCCGCCTTCCTTCCTTCCTTCCTTTGTAGCTGGGATTACAGGTGTGCACCAGCACGCCCAGCTAATTTTTATATTTTTAGTGAAGACAGGGTTTCCCCATGTTGACCAGGCTGGTTTCAAACTCCTGACCTCAGGTGATCTGCCCACCTCAGCCTCCCAAAGTGCTGGGATTATAGGTGTGAACCACTGCACCCAGCCAAGAGCAGGTTTCTTACATGCATATACTGCATAGTGATGAAGTCTGGGCTTTTAGTGTACCTGATACCCGAAGAGTGAACATCGTACCCAATAGCTAACTTTTCAATCCTCACTCTTATCCAATGTCTTCTATCCAAGCTTATGTCTTCATCATTGAATTGTTTCACAGGTTTATTTCAAAAACAAGCTGAAGTTGGCACTCATTGGCCAGAGCCTCTTTGGACAAGAAGTTTATAGCCACCTCCGCAAAGAGGGCCACCGAGTAGTAGGGGTGTTCACAGTTCCAGACAAGGATGGAAAAGCTGACCCTCTGGGTGAGTGCATCTTGGGATGACTGGGTCAAGAATTCTCAGGTCTGGGCTGGCCATCAGCTGGTGTGGCAACTCTGCATACCCAATACACGCTCCTTCTATTTGTTGTTTTATCCTTACTAATGCTGGACTTTCATCTCGTGGTCCAAGACAGCTGCCTCAGCTCCTACTATCATGTCTGCATTCCAGCAAGCAGAAAGGAAAAGAGTGGGAAGCAGGGGAAAGCTTTTTATTAAAGGTGTAACCCAGAGTTGCACGTATTCCTCCCACTTGTATCCCATTGGCAAGAACTTAGTCACAGGCCAAATCTATTTGAGGAGTGGCTGAGAAATATAGATTTGATTTGGGGTGGCTATGTGTTCAGCTAAACTAGGGAAATCCATTGCTAAAGGCTGAAGGGGGATAACTAGCAGTCTCTGACATATACATGAACTTCAGAAAGATTGCAAGCATATAACTTTTAGACCTTTCAGAATGAATCCTGGGAAATCAACTCTTCCCTGGTGCCTGGTCCCAGGGTCAGGACCCCCTTTCCATTGGTCATGGCCATTTGGGCTCATGGCATAACTCAGAAAAAGAAAAACTACCAACCTCACTTATAGAGTCACCTATAGAAAGTGATCCAGCATGTGGTTAACAGCACATGTTCTGGAATCAAGGAACGAATTCTGACTCTGCTGTTTACCAGCTCTATGACCTTGGGCAAGTTGTTGATCTTACTAAGCCTCAGTTCAATGGTAGCTACCTCTCGTGGCTGCTATGAGGATTAAATTGGATTAATGTACACAAAGTGCTCACGCTACGCCTGGCTCATAATAAGGAAGCACTGATGACAGCAGCTGACTGTTCCTGTGAGAACAGTCAACAAGGACAGCCAAAAACTCTAACGGAAGCCCCACACTTGGACGTCTCGGCCTGTCTCAGTGGAGCACGTTTTTTACAATGAAGACTTCTAAGTTTCCTCCGCCCATTTTTCTTTGTCACACGATCTTTCACAATTTTCTCCCATGATCACATTTTTTTTTTACCACCATTTATCCATTTTCCTGTCATCTGATACAAGTTTTTTGAACATCTTATGAACATTCACGTTTTGTGAACATTATTGTGCTGATCTCTCAGATTCTTCCAAATGGATTGATCAGGGGCTAATCCTGATGGTTGGGGTCCTTCAGGACTTCCTGCCAGCATTGAGGTTTTATGGTGGAGGCATCATCTCACCCGGAGTCAATGAATTTTGTTGTCCAGATCTAGGAGAAAAGAAAGCGACACAAAAACGCAGATGAAAAGCTTTAGTTAAAGACTTCTGGAAATTGCCTAAAATCAACATATATGCTATTATATATTAAATATATATAGTATATAAATATATATTACTATTACATTGTAAAAGTAATATATATTACTATATTATAAAACATATATAATATATACTATCATTTCTGTAATATATTCATACCATTATGTATTAATAATAGTATATATATACATATATATCTATAGACTGAAAAAATTTTTAGAGACAGGGTCTTACTTCAATGCGCAGGCTGGAGTGCAATGGCGCAATCATGGCTTACTGCAACCTGGAACTCCTGTGCTCAAGTGATCCTCCTAAGTAGCTAGGACTGCAGGTATGTGCCATCACACCCAGCTAAATTAAAAATAAATTTTTTTTTGGTAGAGACAGGGGTCGCATTATGTTGACCAGGCTGGTCTTGGACTCCTGGGTTCAAGCAATCCTCCTCCCTTGGCTCTCAAAGTGCTGGGATTACAGATGTGAGTTACTGTGCCTGACTGATTTTTAAAATATATACTACTTATATATAAAACTGTATACTTAAAGACATATATATATATACACTTAAGGTATAAGGCACATGGTAAAAATGACATTTCATTACGGAATAAATAGGCTTGTGCTGTTTGCACTTCGGTGGGCCGTTCCATTTTCATATGGGATTAGGATGGAGCCCTTTGTTTGGGAGGGGACAGCACTCTTCTCAGGAAGGAGACCTTGGTCTCTTCAGCGCAGCAAAACCCATATTGGGAGCTGAGCATGTATTCTGCATTCTTCGCCTCTCACCTTCGTGAACTTATTTGTTTGGTGAATTTGGAAAAAGACGGTAGAAAAGCTCAGCTCAGCACCTGCGCTCTTCATCTTTCAGGATCTGCCTGGTTGGCAGGGAGAATGTGTTCTGGTCGACAGTCTGTTCTGCACAAGGAGGGGAGAGATTCTTGGCTTTCTTACTGTGCCAGGGGTGAATATGTTAAATTGGTGGGTGAAGTATTAGCATTTGGCTCCAAATCTAAAGCTGTGTTCTTAAAAAGTTGTATCAGCAATAAAGTTACCATTTCGATCTAAAAAAGAAAAAGCTTTCATTAAAATCTTAAAATATCATCTAGCCAAAAACTTTTCAGTTCTAATTTATTATGCCTTAAGTATATAGGTAAATCACCTTAGTGTGATACAGTTACAACAGGTGAAATTCTAGTCACAATCTAAATTGTTCTTCACCATGTTTTATTTGTAAATATTTCATGAAACTATAAAATTACAATATGTGAATTCATAGCAATGTAAAATTATGGCTAACTTGTAAAAAAAAAATCTTCTTTTTTATGCTCAGCTTTGGTGGCAGAGAAAGATGGGACCCCTGTGTTCAAGTTCCCTAAATGGCGAGTCAAGGGCAAGACCACCAAAGAGGTGGCAGAGGCCTACAGATCCGTGGGTGCAGAGCTCAATGTACTCCCTTTCTGCACTCAGTTCATCCCCATGGATATAATTGATAGTCCAAAGCATGGCTCTATCATCTATCACCCATCCATCCTGCCCAGGCACAGAGGAGCCTCTGCTATCAACTGGTGAGATTTTCTCTTTTTACTTTTTTTTTTTTTTCTTTTTTTTTTGAGATGAGGCCTTGCTATGTTGCTCAGTCTAGGTTCAAACTCCTGATCTCAAATGATCCTCCTGTAACGTAGCTGAGATTTCAAGAGTGTGCCAGAACACCCAGTGAGACTTTTTAAATTACAGAGAGGATGAGTCTATTTCCATTGCCTACCTGTTTTTTACCTAGGCGATCAAGAAATAGGCATGCTTGAACAACTGTGAGGTCCTGATTGGTTACTACTATTGCATGAACTCCCCTGAGATCTAGACATACTGCGTGAAGCAGGACAGCATTTCACAAGAATAGCCTATGGAGTACTAGCTCCATTCATTGACTGTTACTAGGTATTGAGCAAACAAAGGTTTTATGATCAGTAAGTTTGGTTTATGCTGGATTTTTAATTGCTGGATTCATTTGACCTATTAATATGGGTTTTAATGTCAGTATTAAAATCCCCTAGAGGAAATCTGAATACACAATGTTCCCAAACTTATTTGACCACAGAAATTGTTTTTTTGCCTAGAGCATCTCAAGTACATTTCAGGAAATGCTGAATTACTTGAAATGATCATCAGGTAATGACTTGCAATGAAGAACTGATCATCTTCATTGTCCATCTTCCCCGTTCAACCCCAGGCTTCTTGAAGACTTTGCCTAACATTTCTATTGCAATTTTCCAGTGTCAAGAACAGTGGCTGGTAAACTGTGGGTACCTAACACCAAAGGGACACAATGCTGTGGGTTAAGGCAGGCCTTCCGACCCTTTCTGCCCTCTCTCCTTTACCTGCCTGTCTTCCTAATACTCCTCTGTGTCAAATTGTTGGAATAAGCCGGAAGCCTACACTTGGTTTAAATGTGATGAAAAGTATTAATTGTATTTAAATTTTGATTACATGAATTGATTTCTTTTTGGCTCTTATAAATAATACACTATTATTTAGTAAATATCTTTGCACTTAAACTTGTATTTTTTCTCACTTTACACTGTCTCCACATGCAGCATCATTGGATCAAAGCATATCAATATTTTCAGAATCTTGATAACAATTCCAGTTAATTTCTTAGTATTTCTGAAGAGTTAATGATTGATTGATTTAGGTCTTGATTTATAGCTCAGAAGTAAAATTTATTTACCTCATGGGCATGGCTGACTTACATCATACTCTCTCTGTATTAGCTTACTCTCTGATATGCTTTTAGATGTATTTATTCACAGATCTAGCTTATTGTTTGTGTTATAAGCTTCTGGAGGGCCAGCATTTTTCTCATAGGCTAAGGTTCATAGTGCACAAAATACAAATAGTTGAATTAATCAGCCATCTTATACTATAATTTACGTAGAAAATCTAGAGCTAATTCTAGTCCTAAATAAATCTTACACCTGAATTAATTAGCACAACTTGAATTAATAATCAGTTCTTTTCTTCACATTCCACAGAGTATCCTATCTTATCTTCTGTTTTTATTCTGGCTAATAGAGGGTCAAGTTCAATGTAGGAATTGAACCCAAGTGGGCAAATTACTTGATCCTGAAGTAGAAAGCTGACCCCTGGGAGTCAGTGAGTGGTAGTAACGATAGACTCTAATGCCTTTTTGAATTCACTGCATTTCATTACTATACATCAACAAGAAAGGCTGAAGATATGAGGATGTATTATATAAAATAGCAGTACCTGTAGGCAGTGCTTTTTATGAGCTCTGACATCTCCCAGTTCTACTGTTAGTTTCTCAGCTTCATTCATTGTCTACTTTTCCATTATAGCTACCTTACACTTTAATATCACTCATTCATCACTTTATGATATAGTTAACCAACATTTTAAATTAAAATTCTTCTCTTCACAGGACTCTAATTACGGGAGATAAGAAAGCTGGGTTTTCTGTTTTCTGGGCTGATGATGGCTTGGATACAGGACCCATCCTTCTTCAGAGATCATGTGATGTTGAACCCAATGATACAGTGGATACTCTTTATAATCGGTTTCTTTTTCCTGAAGGAATCAAGGCCATGGTTAGTATATTTTGCCATCCAGAATTTAGTAAACCTTTAAATATTTTTGAAAATATTTTTTCTTTTATTAAGAAATTATCCATATGAATTTTCACTAAAAATATAAAATTTAAAAACAAGGTTGGGCATGGTGGGTTACGCTTATAATCTCAGCACTTTGGGAGGCCAAGGCAGGCGAATCATGGGGTCAGAAGTTCGAGACCAGCCTGGCCAACATGGTGAAACCCCGAGTCTACTAAAAATACAAAAAATTAGCTGGGCATAGTGGCGGGCAATAGCTGTAATCCCAGCTACCTGGGAGGCTGAGGCAGGAGAATTGCTTGAATTCGGGAGGTGGAGGTTGCGGTGAGCCAAGACCGTGCCACTGCACCCCACCCTGGGTGACAGAGCAAGACTTCATCTCCAAAAACAAACAAAACAAAATTAGGTTTTCTTTTTTTCAACTAATGGGATGGTATATTTAGGATGGAAATCTGAACTTTTCAATTTCTTAGTCTAAGAAGCTGACTTGTTCTTCTGACAGCAGTGATCCAATGGATACAGTAGCATTTAAACGGCTCCATTTCTTTTGCCAAATACTTGAATCTTCAACCTGGCCTACAATGATTAATTGTAAAGAAGTATATAGAATCCGCCACCATGCCCAGCTAATGTTTTGTATTTTTAGTAGAGACGGGGTTTCACCATGTTGACCAGGATGGTCTCGATCTCTTGACCTTGTGATCCACCCGCCTCAGCCTTCCATAGGACCTGAAGACATTTTGCTATGTAATTTGTCATGGAAATGTAAAAGTACTTTAAATTAGGCTCTGTAACAGGGTGAAATTTGGTGTTGCTATATTTATTCAGAGGCGCTCTGGGGCAAAAAAATCCCAAAACATGTATACCATCAAATAAAAATATTGAAATATTAGCCTGTAAAAATATTGAAAGCCTCAGCTGATCATTTTGATGTCATTTAATTTTTTTCAGAGCTAGCATGAGAGAATACAGCAGTAGCTATTGATTCAGGAGGGAGGAGAGCAGTGTTTTGCTTGTATCATTTAATGATTAAGAAGATAGGGCTTTGATGTCAGAAAGAACCAAGCTCAAATTTCCATTCTACCTCTTCTCTGGTGTATGACACCAGACAAGTCACTTAGCCTCTTTAGCTTTGGTTTCTTCATCTATACAGTGTGGATAATACCACCTGAATTGTAGGGCAGTTGTGAAAATTAAATGACATTATTTATGTAAAGCACCTGGCCCATGGTAGCTACTCATAAAATTATCATTACAGTCAATATAGTGTTATGTGTGTTCAGTGAAATTTGCTGAAGCTGAAATTCCAGACCTAGTTATAGCCTAGATGGAGGTGGGTGGACTGAGTTGTAAACTCGGCTCTGTTCTCCTGCGGCTCTCTCCATGTGTTCTTGGGTAGGTTGGTCAGCAGCTGTGAGTCCTTAGAGAGAAATCTGAGAACTTGAACTCACATAGGCCTCCCAGTGAAAATGGGAGGCTGTGGACTCAAGGCAAACATAAATATGACAGAGAAGAAAATGCATGATACTTCCCAAAGACAATCAAACTCATGGATAGATTTTAACTTTTTTAATTCCACGTCTCTTAAACTAGAAAGCAAGTTGAATTTATTAAATACAATAAAGCATCATTTTTTGGAAACATCATGATGAGTAAAATAACTCACAAAGACTTATAATTGTATTCCTAACATTTCCAGTGAATCACCCAGAGAAGTGGCAGTTTGTTTAAACAAAGGAGTCATTTTTAAGAGGGCAGACTTCAACTGGCAATAGATAGACCTGGACACAAACCTGTTTCTGACACCTACAAGCTCGCCCTGTGATCTCGAGCCAATTGCTTAGCTCTTTTTCTAAGCCAGTTTCCTCACGTGTAAAACAGGAATAACAATATCCACCTTGCAGAATTTGTGTTATGTTTACAAAGGATATTTTACATAAAGTAGCTACCACACTGCTCATCAGGATGGACCTGAAGAGATGGTAGTTTTCATCATACTCTGACTCTCTGAACAGCTTTATAGGTAGTAATGCTGTTATGCAGAAATTTTAGTCAAATAGACCATGCCATTGTTGATCACTGGGCTGTAACACAGGTGACGTCTTTGGCCTTAGGTAGAAGCTGTCCAACTCATAGCCGATGGAAAAGCTCCTCGTATTCCCCAGCCAGAAGAAGGAGCAACATATGAAGGTATCCAGAAAAAGGAAAATGCTGAGGTATTTATATCAACTCAATGACACATCTCAGAGTTCATGGCCCTCGACCTTTCAGTAGTTTCCCACATACTACGATCTTGCCAAAAGGTAGATCTGCAAGCCAGCCTGCCCTAGCCCTACCTGTTACAGTAGACAGCCAGACAGAAGCAGGAGAGGGGAGTCCCCTAAAGAAAAAAAAGTCTGGGAAGACTCACGTCCGAGAGACCACCCTAAATTTGCATATTAACAGTATCTCTAGTGCTGGAGTGGGTGGGCACTTAGTCAAATATGCACAAGTAGGACAGGCGATACTATGCAAATGAACAAACAAGCAAATAAAAAATGCCCAGAAACCCCTCTTAAGACTGACTGCTCAATAATCCTTCACTTCAGTAAAATGTCAAAATATTGCTAGCTACATGCTAATGAAAAGAGCAAAGGGGATATTCCTTAAAAAAACCTGGCATGTTGCCGGGCGCGGTGGCTCAAGCCTGTAATCCCAGCACTTTGGGAGGCCGAGGCGGGTGGATCACGAGGTCGAGAGATCGAGATCATCCTGGTCAACATGGTGAAACCCCGTCTCTACTAAAAATACAAAAAAATTAGCTGGGCATGGTGGCGCGCGCCTGTAATCCCAGCTACTCAGGAGGCTGAGGCAGGAGAATTGCCTGAACCCGGGAGGTGGAGGTTGCGGTGAGCCGAGATCGTGCCATTGCACTCCAGCCTGGGTAACAAGAGAGAAACTCCGTCTCAAACAAACAAACAAACAAACAAACAAACAAAAAAACCTGGCGTGTTGGGCACACTGGGAGCAGTGGCTCATGCCTGTAATCCCAGCACTTTGGGAGACTGACAATGGAATCACTTGCGGCCAGGAGTTCGAGACCAGCCTGACCAACACAGTGAGATTCCCTCCCTCAAAAAACAAAAAACAAAAACCTGGAGCCATAAGTACAGCTTAGGGCAGAGAAAGAAATTCCAAAAAAATACACAGATGCAATAGGTATAGATTTGGCCACTATACAGCCTTCCTGTGGCAATGGTAGTAAACAAGACAACCATCAGGTAATATTCACACCCAACACCAACCCACACACACCAACTAATGATATGAAGGGTTCCATAAGCCTGAGACAAAATCTAGATGCAGACAAAGCAGAGAACTAAGACCACAAACAAACTAGAAAAAAAAAAAGAGGCAGAAACTTAACAGAGGTGGGAACTTACTAATAAAAACCCAACATAAAACTCTCCAACAGCTGCTGGCCTACGCCCCTCAACAGCTCACTCTACTTCATCTCTACAGAGCACACTGTCCCTTTAAACAACCCTCTGCTTTCCATTGTCCTTCAATAAAGTCTCTTTTTTGCTAAATCAGCCACCTGACAAAATACCTTCTCCAAAGAGGTAAAAATTCCTTTACTTCCCAATAACATACTCATTTCTGCCTCTGATGGCAAGAAGCATGTTTTATTGCCATTGAGGTTCAGTCTCGGAAGCTCAGCTTGTATTTTGTGCCTTCCTAGATTTCTTGGAACTGGTCTGCTGAAGTTTTACATAATTGGATTCGAGGTCATGATAAAGTCCCTGGAGCCTGGACAGAGATAAATGGACAGGTATGTTCTAGGGACCACCTCCCCTCAACCTCCAACCCCGATTATTACCTTTGTAGGGGGTAAATTACAGATAAATCTGGGCTTCCCATGGTTCTTCCTTGGTCATAAGGTGGGTCTGTGATTCACTCTCCTCTTTACTCAGCATGTATTGAGTATTTATTGTGCAGCAGACACTAAATCCAGCCCTTGATCTCAAGAAGCCTGCAGTTTTATGGGGAGTGCCGAGAAATAAATAAACACTCTCAGTGCAGTAACATAAACACTATCATGGAGGCTGAGACTTGGGCATATTAGGAAACACTTCCTAGAAAAGCTCATTGCAGCCAGGCATGGTGGCTGATGCCTGAAATCCCAGCACTTTGGGAGGCCGAGGTGGATGGATCACCTGAGGTCAGGAGTTCAAGACCAGACTGACCAATATGGCAAAACCCTGTCTCTACTCAAATTACAAAAATTAGCTGGGCGTGGTGGTATGCACCTGTAGTCCCAGCTACTATGGAGGCTGAGGCCGGGGAATAGCTTGAACCTGGGAGGTGGAGGTTGCAATGAACTGAGATCGTGCCACTACACTCCAGCCTGGGCAACAGAGTGAGACTTCATCTCAAAAAAAAAAAAAAAAAAAAAAAAAAAGAAAGAAAAAAAAAAAGAAAAGAAAGAAAGAAAAAGAAAAGGAAGAGGTCACTGCTTTGCTCGAACTTCAAGAAGAGTTAACCAGGTTGAGAGGAAGACAAATAGGTGAAGCCCCAGAGATGAGAGACTCCAGCACCTACTCAAGGACTTGCAAAAGGAGTTCAGTGAAGCCAGGGTCTGGACTGTGAGGACAGCATGGGAAGAGCTGAGGCCAGAGAGGTGAGCGGGGCCTGACAGGTCTTCTATCCATGGGTAATTGACTCAGCCCAGGCTGTCAGGTTTCACCTCTTCCAGGAGGTTTCCTGATCTCACATGTCCCGCCTGGCAGGCTCGGATGTCCCATCTCTGAGTTCCAGCAACACCCTATCTACCTCTGGTATGGCATATCATATATTGTGAGGGTCTCTTTATCTATCTCCCACAACATTAGACTCCTTAGGAGCAAGGGGTTCATGTGATTGTCTTGATAATCTCAGCAGTTAAGCAGGATTCTGGGCACATACTAAGTGCCAATAAAAATTCATGGGATCAATGAGTGAGCAAGGGAGAGAGTTGAGTTTAATGGTTAAGAGTGCAAGATCTGGGCCAGGCACAGTGACTCATGCCTGTAATCTCAGCACTTTGGGAGGCTGAGGGGGGTGGATCACAATGTCAGGAGTTTGAGACCAGCCTGGCCAACATGGTGAAACCCCGTCTCTACTAAAATTATAAATTAGCCAGGCGTGGTGGTGGGTGCATGTAATCCCAGCTCCTCGGGAGGCTGAGGCAGGAGTTTCACTTGAAGCCAGGAGGTGGAAGTTGCAGTGAGCCGAGATCGTGCCACTGCACTCTAGCCAGGGCAGCAGAGCAAAACTCTGTCTCAAAACAACAACAACAACAACAACAACAACAACAACAACAACAAAGAGTGCAGGATCTGAAGCCAGAATGCTTCTATTAAGATTCTGGCTGTCCCACTATTTACTGTGTAACTTTGGGCAGGTTACTTAACCATTGGTTGCCTTGGTTTCCTCATCGTAAAATGGGACTAATAATACTACCTCCCTTAGGTTAAGGGTAATTGTGAAGATTAAATGTGTGGGCCGGGTGCGGTAGCCCACACCTGTAATCCCAGCACTTTGGGAGGCTGAGGTGAGAGGATCAACCAAGGTCAGGAGTTCAAGACCAGCCTGGCCAACATGGTGAAACCCTGTCTTTACTAAAAATAACAAAATAAAAAATAAATTAGGCAGGTGCAGTGGCATGTACCTGTAATCCCAGCTACTTGGGAGGCTGAGGCAAGAGAATCACTTGAACCTGAGAGGCAGAGGTTGCAGTGAGATCGTGCCACTGCACTCCAGCCTGGGCAACAGAGCAAGACTCTGTCTCAAATTAAAAAAGAGTTTAATACATGTTAACTCATTTAAGTACTTAGTCCCTGGCCTAGAGTAGCTATTCAACAAACCATTATGGCATAATCATAATAGTGGTCCAGAAATGATAGCTGTCATCCTAGGACTGCAGTCCTAAATCAGTCAGTATCAGCGTCTCTTGGTTACGGTCTGGATCCAGTCCTGTTTCCATGAATGGACTCACAAAGCACCCTGTGCTTGTCATCACTTATCACCCTGCACTGTAATAGTCTGGTTATCACTCTACATTGCCCCTCACTGATGCCCACCCCAGCATCTCCCCAATCACCCAAACCCTACCTTCAGGCTATAAAGGTTGAGAGCTTTTTTATCTTTTTTTTTTTTTTTAGAAAGAGAAAAAGAATAATAAGAACAAGAATAAAGAAGAGGAAGAAAGAGAAAGAGGAAGAGGGAGAGAGAATGGGGGTATTGCTTTGTTGCCCGGGCTAGAATGCTCTCTAAATATGGGTATGCCTATAATTGTCCTTAATAATGGAGACATGAAAGAAAATGAGGGAAGAGAGTAACAAACAAGGAGCCAACTAACATTTCGTTTAAACTTCTAAGTTGATATGATGTGGTACTGATAAGAATGTACCTTTTGTGTAAAGTGGAGAGCTCTATAAATGTTAATTACGTCCACTTGTTCCAGATCTGAGTTCAAGTCCTGGACATCGTTGTTAATTTTCTGTCTCATTGATCTGTCTAATATTAATGTTGAAGTCTCCCACTATTATTGTGTGGGAGTCTAAGTCTCTTTATAAGTCTTGTATGTCTGGGTATTCCTGTATTGGGTGCATATATATTTAGGACCTTTAACTCTTCTTGTTGTTGCATTGATTCTTTTATCATTATATAATGTCCTTCTTTGCTTCTTTTGATCTTTGTTGCTTTAAATACTATTTTATCAGAGGCAAAAATTGTAACTTCTGCTTTTTATTTATTTATTTTTGCTCTCTGGTTGGTTGGTAAGTCTCTCTCCATCCCTTGTTTTGAGTCTTTGTGTATCCTTGAATGTGAGATGGGTCTGGATGCAGCATACAGTTTTAATTTTTTTGTCCAAATTCCCTGTCTGTCTTTGAATTGGGGAATTTAGTCAATTTAAATTTAGAATTAATAATGATATATGTGAGTTTAATACTGCCATTTAATATTAGCTGGCTATTTTGCCCATTAGTTGATATAAATTCTTCATTATATTGATGTTCTTTACTTTTTGGTATTTTTTAGAAAGGCTGATACTGTTTGTTCCTTTCTATGTGTAGTCGTTCTTTCAAAAGCTCTTGTAAAGCAGGCCTGGTGGTGATGAATTCTCTGAGTGCTTGCTTGTTCACAAAAAACTTTATTTTTCCTTCACTTATGAAGCTTAGTTTGGCTGGATGTGAAATTCTTGGTTGAAAGTTCTTTTCTTTAAGGATGTTGAATATTGGTCCCCACTCTCTTCTGGCTTCTAGGGTTTCTGCTGAGAGATCTGCTGTAAGTCTGATATGCTTCCATTTGTGGGTAACCTGACTTTTCTCTCTGGCTGCCCTTAGTATTTTCTCCTTCATTTCAACCCTGGTGAATTTGACGATTATGTGCCTTGGAGTTGCTCTTCTTGAGGAATATCTTTGTGGTGTTCTCTGTATTACCTGGAGTTGAATATTATCCTGCCTTACTAAGTTGGGAAAATTTTCCTGAATAATGTCCTGAAGCATATTTTCCAGCTTGGATTCATTCTCTTCGTCACATTCAGGTACACCTATCAAGCGTAGATTAGGTCTTTTCACATAGTCCCATATTTCTTGGAGACTTTGCTGGTTCCTTTTTATCCTTTTTTCTCTAATCTTGTCTTCTAGTTTTATTTCATTGAGTTGGTCTTCGACCTCTGATATCCTTTCTTCTGCTTGATCAATTCGGCTGTTAAAACTTGTGCATACTTCACGTAGTTCTCGTATTGTGTTTTTCAGCTCCATCAATTCACTTATTTTCCTCTCTAAATTTTGTATTCTTGTTGACATTTCGTCAAAACTTTTTTCAAAAGTTCTTAGTTTCTTTAGATTGTGTTAGAACAAGTTCTTTTAATTCATAGAAGTTTCTTATTATCCACATTTTGAAGCCTGCTGCTGTAATTGGAACACACTTGTTCTCCATCAAGCCTTGTTTCGTTGCTGATGAGGAACTGGGATCTCCTGCTGAGGAAGAGGCGTTTTGATCTTGGGTATTCTCAGTCTTTTTTGACTGTTTTCTTCCCTTCGTTGTAGATTTATCCATCTGTGGTCTTTATAATTACCGTCTTTATAATTGGGTTTCTGAGTGGACGTCCAACTTATTGATTCTCAGCGCCGAAATCTGAGCAGCCCACTGCACTGACTAAATCAGCGGCGTTAAGATTGATGGTGCTTTTCTGACTCTGCACCAAGAACCGGCGCTCAGAGGTGCCGGCAAAACCGCCTCGCCGGTCACAAGAGTCGCGCTGGCGACCCGTGGGGCTCCTCCACTGGGAATCTTCTGGTGCGTTAGCAACAAGAATTCATGTGAAGGTGTGGCGTCCTCTCGTTCTTTGCGTTTTCCCTGGGAGCTACAATCCCGAGCTGCTAGTGATCAGCCATCTTGGATCTCTCTCCCGAGAGCTTTCTTATCTTATTCACCTTGGTATCAATGTGAATATGTGATAAATGCATACTCATGTCACCTGGATGTGGGACATTTTGGAAACTCTCCAATGACATACTCACAGACGGTCTCTTGCATTGTGTCATTTCTATGGATGTTTTGAGACAGCTTCTCCTACTGTGGTGTCTCAATTTTATTACAGATGATAATCTGAACATCAGTGTTTTTGCAGGGAATGATGCTTGTATATACCACTGTGAACAGCTTTTCTCCTGATTTTACAATCTGGGTTTGATCTCTTTACTAGATGGTCACTTTCTATGGCTCGACATTACTGACTAGCTCTGTGCCTCCTGGAGAACCACTGGAAATTAAAGGTGCCAAGAAGCCTGGTCTCATTACCAAAAATGGACTTGTTATTTTTGGTAACGATGGAAAAGCAGTGAGTGTTCAATATGGCTGCCTATGAAATAACCTTTTGATTTTCTTCTATAACCCAAGTTATTAAGGGAATAGCTTTCACAAAGTAATCTGGCTTTGCACTGGGATATGGGGAAGTTGGGACATCTGTACCTCCATTGCTGGCTGGGGAGGAGCTGGCTCTAAATATTCTGATGGAGATGAGGTGTCTCAGGATGGGCCCCACAGACTTTTATAGGCTGCCTTGTGTAAAGGAGAAAGAGGCCAGAATTCAGTGCAGAGAGAAGAGTGTGAGTCCCTGCTTCCCACTCTCTGGTCTTGGGCAGGATGATTCTCCCCTTTGAGTCTGTTTTGCCACCTACACAACAGAGAGGAGAATCTCTCATCTGTCTGCCTTTCCACTGCCTGATTCTGAAGGGATCAAGTGAAATGGACGTGGCCCTCCTCAGATGCCCCTTGCCACTGATCCACCAGGCAGGTGCCACCTACACTGCCTGTGCTCAGGACGGTTGGCCCTGGGCCTCAGTGTGCCCTTGGAAAGCTTCCCAATGAAGCATGCAAAGGTAATTTGTAGCTTACGGATATTTTCCGGTTGCTGCAGGATAAGTCAGTTAAGACTGTAGGCTTAGAGTCCTGCCAGTGCCGGGTTCTACTCCCAGCTCTGTTACTTACTATCTGTGTGACTGAGCAAATTACTGAACTTCATTTAGCCTCCCTTTCTGTATCAGGGAATAATAACGGCATCTGCCTCCATCAGCATTTATGAGATTAGGTGAGATCTTTCAGCACATGCATGCATCTTTTTTTTTTTTTGGCATCTGTGCTGCCAAAGTGAGCACTCACACATGCATTTTCCAGCATGGTGCAGAGCAAGTGCTCAGAGGCAGCAGCCGCGGCAGTATAGCAGTGTCTGTTATTTCACAATAGACTCCAGATATTCAAATACATACCTCTGAGTGTCAAATTTTCTAGGACTTACTTTCTATTTTGAGATGTACCTATCCCTAGACCTAACTTTCTCCTTTCTGCTGCCATCATTCAAATGCCATTTCAGCCCTTTTACACATAATGGTGAATGCTTTTAATCCATAATTTTGTATTTTTCCAAATAATCTTGCCCTTATTTGCATATAACTATAGGACTCCTCCCACCAGCCTCACTTTTGCATTGTCCCAATTTTTATGCTTGTTTCGTTGCTATTTTGTAGCTAATGGTGAGAAATCTGCAGTTTGAAGATGGAAAAATGATTCCTGCCTCTCAGTACTTTTCAGCGGGTGAGACGTCAGTGGTAGAACTCACAGCTGAAGAGGTGAAGGTGGCGGAGACCATCAAGGTGAACACATCATAACCTTAATGTTACTGTTATCTTAGAAAACTGAAGCATGTTTGTAACTGGTACCATCGGTCTTTTTTTGTATTAGCTGCAAGAGGAAATGCATATGCTCAAACACAGTACATACAAGTTGAATTTTCACATAAGTCATCCAAGGCAGTTCCAGCTTGGCATGAGGGTTAGGGGTAAAGTCATTCAGGGACCCAGTTTCTGTTATTTTCAAGGTCTCCCTGGGGGACATCTCCATTCCAGACAGCCAGAAGGACAAAGGAGCGTGTAGAATGGTGTGGAGGAGGTCTTCACGGGCCAGGACTGGGGTGGTGCAGGTTTCTTCCACTCCTGTTCATTGGCTGCGTCTAACTTGGAGAGATGCTGAGAAACGTGGTCACTCTGTGTGTACAAGGTGAAGAGGAAATCGGTTTGGTGAAGAGCTAGCTAGTCCCTGCCACACTGTTCTACGTGGAACTTTCCTTAACAAAAGTTTCCTTTTCATGTAGGTCATCTGGGCTGGAATTTTAAGCAATGTCCCTGTTATTGAAGACTCAACAGACTTCTTTAAATCTGGAGCAAGCTCAATGGATGTTGCTAGGTAAAACCACGACCTTATGACTCACTAGGGATTTCCTCACTAGGAATTTTGACTTTGGCTTTGACAGTGAAATTTACATTCTTTGTTCTGGATTTGACTTCCCTATCATACCTATTTATGGCACATCTCTATTGTTTTTATTTTTTTATTGTGGTTTCCATGGTCAAGCAGACATATCTGTCTGTTTAGTTCTCTTTGTTGCTAACCAGAAGTTGTTTTCATATCTTCTGTATACCTAAAAAAGCAACCTTTAGAACTGCTTGCATCTTTAAAAAATTTGTCCTCCCAGTTTCTTAGCTAATTTTCCTCCAGTATGACATCAGAATTGAGAAGCTCTGGGTGAGAATGCTAACAGGGAATTTCCTATGGAGCCTGGTCCAGAATATTATCTGAATAATATCTGATACCTGATAATAATAATATAACCAGAATAATATCTGATACCAGATATTAATTATGCTTTCCCCAAAATCTTTTTTTTCTCCTACCCCTGGTCCCCCTGCAAATTGCCCAGTAAGATAGATCTAGAATGAGGGTTAACAGGCTATTTGCAAGGACAAGTGTAATCACCCTATAGTCAGAATTTCTCCACAGAGGTTTAGAGCAAGTTGAAAGGGCTTGAGTCCCAGAGAGCCTTCTCTCTGGCAAGAAAAGTGGACCAGGATCCTACTGGTGCAGCATCTTGCAGAAGTGTTTTTCTTTGAGCTACTGGGATAATGAGACAGCTGGGAGCTCACCATGGGCTGTGCAATCCCTTGATGGTGGGTACAGTGAATAGAAGCTAAGAGGATTTGATCCCAAGCTACATTGTGGCCATTCACTAATTAAATTAAATAAAAATGTTCCTCCTCTTGACAAAATCCTTCACATTGACAAAGCAATGTTCCTGATGAATATTCTCTCTCTTTACTCATTTATTTAACAACATTGATTGAACATTTACTACATGTGAAGAACAGTTTTAGCACTGAGGTTATAGAGTGTAAACTAGACAAGGTCCCTTGATTCATGGAGGTTTTATTCCAGAAATCAAAACAATCATTTCAAGAGTGTTTTCCAAAGTCAAGAGTTTTGGTTCCTCAAATTATAGATTTCTCAGAGCTGTGATTCATGAGTTCTCAGAAACTTCTAATTAGCTTAACTAAAGATTGTAACACTACATTATGGTGATTGTTATTACAGATAGCATATCACTCTGTCATCTAGGCTGGAGTGCAGTGGCATGATAACAGCTCACTTGCACTAGCAGCCTTGCACTCCTGGGCCAGCCATCCATTCATCTTAGCCTTTCTAGTGGCTGGGATTACAGGCATGAGCCATCGCACCTGGCCTCAGTACTGTATTATTGGCACTTTTTTTCTTTTTGCTAGCAAGATACTTCTGCAGGAATTACTCACTTTCTGTTTGAATGTCCAGCTTAACATAATCATCTGATATTATTACCTTGATTATAAAGATATCATCTCTTTTAGAGAATAAATGATTGAACAACAACCATGGTGGACTTTCCACACTGTACCTCGTACACTATTGCTATTCAAGAAATGTCAGATAACAGCTGTAATTTGACAAACTAACAGTCCAAATCAAAGGACTGGAAAGACTTCAAAAATCATACTGACCTACTGCATGGTTCCAGCTAGTACCTATGTTACCTATATAATGCAAACAAATGTCTATCTTATACTTGTAATTTAGAGAAAATATTCTACAATATGACATTCATCTCTCATAATCTTTACAGTTAAGAAGTGTCTGTTTCTTATTCCTTGATTATATATGAAAGGAAAGGAGTTGACTTTATATGTTCCTTGCTATCTTGCTTGTAAGTAATTAAAATATTTTTGCCTTGATTTCTTTTATTTTTCGTCATGGATGAAGTTTTAAAAAACTGCCACTGTCCTTTAAGATATATTTTTAATTTCTTGCCCCTAGTCTTATCAACCTCTCTGATGAGTACCACAGAAGATCTCATAGGATATAAATAGGCATGTGATGTCTTACCTCAAAACAACTTGACAAACATAAATAACACGGTTTTGCTAACCCCTCTTAAAATCTAAGTAATGCGAAGCTGGTGCTTACTTTAAGGCTGGTGGAAGAGATCAGACAGAAATGTGGTGGGCTTCAGTTGCAGAATGAAGACGTCTATATGGCCACCAAGTTTGAAGACTTTATCCAAAAGGTCGTGAGGAAACTGAGAGGAGAAGATCAAGAGGCGGAGCTGGTTGTAGATTATGTAAGCCTTTCCTTGATGTTACAACATGAAATCAGTGAGATCCATATGCTACAAAAGAATGCTGTGCCTATTCACCATTTGTTTTTATATTTATAACCTTTAAAAAATAACAGCTTTACTGAGATCTAATTCAGATGCCATAAAATTCACCCTTATTTTTTTTTTTGATACAGAGTTTTGCTCTTGTTGCCCAGGCTGGAGTGCAATGGTGCAGTCTTGACTCACCACAACCTCTGCCTCCCGGGTTCAAGTGATTCTCCTGCCTCAGGCTCCTGAGTAGCTGGAATTGCAGACATGTGCCACCATACCTGGCTAATTTTGTATTTTTAGTAGAGATGGAGTTTCTTCATGTTGGTCAGGCTGGTCTCAAACTCCCGACCTCAGGTGATCCACCCACCCCGGCCTCCCCATGTGCTGGGATTACAGTGTGAGCCACCGCGCCTGGCCCAATTCACCTTTTAAAATGTGTATTTTGAGTTAGTATATTCATAGAGTTGTGCAACTATCAGGCCATCCAATTTTGGAACATTTCCATCATCCCAAAAAGAAGCCCTGTACCCACTGGCAGTCATTCTTTACTGTTTCAGGCCTACCTCGTACAAAAAATGTTCCAAAATTGGATAGCATGATAGTTCCTAGAAAACATTAATCTCTTTTCTGTCTCTATGAATTTGCCTATTTTAGAGATTTCATATAAATAGAATCAAATAACGTAGCTTTTTGTTTCTGGCTTCTTTCTCTTAGCATAATGTGTTCAAGGTTCATCCACGTTGTATCGTCATTTCATTCCTTTTTCTGGCCAAATAATATTCTATTGCATAAATATACCACAGTTTGTTTATCCATTCATCAGTTGATGTACATTTGGGTTCTTTCTACTTTTTGGCTATTATGAATAATGTTATGAAAATTCATATATAAGTTTCTGCATGAACATATGTTTTCAAGTCTCTTGGGTATATACCTAAGAATGGAACTCATGAGTCATATGGTAACTCTATGTTTAACTTTTTTGAGTAACTGCCAAACTGTTTTCCAAAGTGGCTCTACCATTATATAATCCCACCAATGTATGAGGGTTTCAACTTCTCCATATCCTCGCCAATACTTGCTCTCCTCTGTTTTTTCTCTTTTAGCTGTCCTAGTGGGTGTGAAGCGGGATCTCACTGCGGTTTTGATTTGTATTCCCTAAAGCCTCATGATTTTGGGCATCTTGTCATATACTCATTGGCCATTTGTATTTCTTCTTTGGAGAAATGTCTGTTCTTTCAAATCCTTTGCTCATTTTTAAACTGGTGTGTCTTTTTATTGCTGAGTCCTAAGAGTCCTTTGCATATTTTGGATACTAGATCCTTCTCAGATATAAGATTTGCAAATATTTTCTCTCATTCTGTAAATTTGCTGGAAACTTTCATGAGTGACCTTTGACACACAACAGGTTTTAATTTTGATGAAGTCTAATTTATCTATGTTCTTTTACCACTTATGCTTTCTATATGTCTTATCTGACACCTTTTTGTTCCTCTATTTCTTCTTCACTGCTGTCTTTTGTGTTAAATATGTCTAGTAAGTCATTTTAATCCGTTTTTTATTTTACTATATTTTTAAGCTATTTTCTTAGTGGTTGCCTTGAGGATTATAATTAACATTTTTTTCTTAAAATAGTCTAGTTCAGATGAATACCAACCTAATATCAATAATATAGGAAAGCTTTGCTGTAACATAGTTGTTATGAACTCCCCTAATTTGTGCTATTATTATCATACAAATTACATCTTTATACATCATGAGCCGACTAACACAGTTTTATAATTATTGCTTTATGAAGCTGTATTTTTAATGAGATAGAAAGAGTTAAAAATATATTTGTAGCAATGTTTATATTTACCTATGTAGTTACCTTTACCAGTGCTCTTTATTTCTTCATATGTATTCAAGTTAACCATCTAGCATCTTTTCATTTCAACTTGAAGGATTCTTCTCAGCATTTTTTAGACCAGGTATGCTAGCAGTCAATTTTCTGGTTTTGTTCACTTGGGAATGTTTTAATTTCTCCCTCATTTCTGAAGGATGTTTTTGTTGGGTATAGAGTTTTTGGATGGTACTTTTCTTTTATCGTTTTAAATGTTTCATCATGTTGCCTTCTGGCCTCCATGGTTTGTGATGATAAGTCAACCGTTAACTTTATCAAGGACTCTTTTGTATGCTGAGTTCCCTGCTGCTTTTGAGATTTCTTCTTTGTCTTTGTTTGTCTTTGATTATTTGTTATGATGTGTCTAGGTGTGGAGGCTTTGAGTTTTCCATCAGAATTTGTTGAGCTTCTTAGATTGTGGATTCTTGAAATGTGCAAGTTAATGTTTTTCATCAAATTTAGGAAATTTTCAGCCATTCTTTCTTCAAATGTTTCTCCTCTCCCTTCTCCCTCTCTTCTATTTCTGGTTCTCCTTTTATGCATATGTTGGTATACATGATCATATCCCACAAGTCTCTGAGGCTCTGTTCATTTTTCTTTATTCTTATTCCTTCTTGTTGTTTAGGCTTTTCACCTGCTTGAATCTGCTGTTGGGTTCCTCTAATGAATTTTTTATTTCAGTTATTGCATATTGCAACTTCAGTATTTTTATTTGGTTCTTTTTAAAATAATTTTTATCTCTTCATTGATATTGTCTATTTGGCAGGACATTATTCTCTTACTCTCCTTTAATTCTTTAGACATGGTTTTCTTTAGTTCATTGGACACACTTACAAAAGCTTATTGAAAATCTTTCTTTAGCAAATCCAAAGTCTAGGCTTCTCCAGGGATGGTTTCTATTAGCTGCTTTTTCCACCTGTGTGTAGGCCATACTTTCTGTTTCTTTGCATGTCTTGTAATCTTTTGTTGAAAGGTGGCCATTTAAAATAATAGACTGTGGTAACTCTGGAAAGCAGACCTTCCCCCCATCTCCCTTTACCACATTTGTTGCTGTTGCTGCTACTGCTTTTTTGTTGTTGTTGTTCAACGACTTTCTTGATAATTCTGTAAAGTCTGTATTTTTTATTGCTTGCCACTGCTGAAGTCTCTTTTTGGTTACCTTAATGGTCATCCAATGATCTGGCATAGATTTTCTTAGACACCTTGAACCAATAAGCATCCAGCCTTTGCAAGGGGGCTGTCTGTGTGTGTGCTGGGATACACCTTCAGTGTGTGCTCCAACAGGCAGTTTACAACTCTGCCTTAGCCTTCACGCTTCCTGCCTGCACAGAGCCTCAAGGTCATCCAGAGTTAAGAGATAAGGGCCTTCTGAGGTCCTTCTTGGGCATGTGCACAAGCCCTGCATGTGTATTGTCCTTCTGGATTCCCAGGAATATGTCAGAGCTTTTCAATGCCTCCTATGGATATCTCATTCCCAGTTATTACGCTTAAATTTGGTCAGCCATTTGTTAGTCTCAGTTAATATCACTGCTGTGGGCACTGCAATATTAAATAATTGCCACTAATTATTTTTGACAAATGACCCAGGGATAGTGTTGTTAGTGCATAACAAGCTCTGAGTCAGAACAAATAAACACAAGCCCAAGCCGGGGATGGTAGCATGTGCCTGTAGTCCCAGCTACTCAGGATGATGAGGCAGGAGGATCACTTGAGTTCAGGAGTTTGAGACTGTGATGCACTTGATCACACCTGTGAATAGCCACTACAATTAGCCTGCACAACATAGTGAGACCCCGCCTCTAACAACAGAATATCTCTGAGAGTGGAGCTTTTCAGGGAGCTTCCAGGAAGGCCAAATAGTAACAGTTCTTTGGGGATAAGGCTTGTGGAGAGCTCCAGACCCATTTCATTGCCATCAGTGGCTACCAGGCTGCTGGTTTTCACAGCTACCATAGTGGCAATGATGGTTTTTCAAGGATATTGCAGAGCTTTTGAGAAAGATGGAAATGGGGCATTTAATACGCCATAAAGCTCACTTTTCTTACTGTGATTCAACTATTCTTCTTGAAATGGATTACTGCAAGCCTTTGGTTAATTTCCAGAGTTCTGAGAGAAGTGATTTGAACAATATTTTCCAGTGTTCTCATTGCTTTTATGAAGGAGTGGATTTTCAGAGGTCCTTACTTTACTGTCCCAGAAGTTCTTCTCACCCATTTGTTTTTAACAAGAATTTGGAAAATCTGGAAAGCAGTTTAGCATCATCTGGTTAAAAACATGAATTCTGGAGTCAGACCAACCTAGGTTTGAATCCAAGTAGCATGACTTACTAGCTGTGTGACCTTGGGCAAGTTACTTAACTTCCCTACCACAGTTTGCTCCTATTATTACTCTCCATCATTTTTTTATTTTTTATTTTTTTTGAGACGGAGTTTCGCTCTTGTTACCCAGGCTGGAGTGCAATGGCGCGATTTCGGCTCACCACAACCTCCGCCTCCTGGGTTCAGGCAATTCTCCTGCCTCAGCCTCCTGAGTAGCTGGGATTACAGGCACGTGCCACCGTGCCCAGTTACTTTTTTGTATTTTTAGTACAGATGGGGTTTCACCATGTTGACCAGGATAGTCTCGATCTCTTGACCTCGTGATCCACCCGCCTCGGCCTCCCAAAGTGCTGGGATTACAGACTTGAGCTACATCGCCCGGCCGTACTCTCCATTATTATTATTTCCTCCATTATTATTACGCTATTTATAGGGTATAAAATTTGATTCTCCCAGCAATTCTCTGTGGTAGATATTATTATTATATAATATTATTGTTATTACCCTATAGATTGGGTAATTATTATTATTACCTGCAAAACATTATAGTATGCACATAATATGAAACATGCCTTCTGTTACTTGATTCATATCACGTGGTTTATAGGGTAATAATGTTATATAATAATAATATATTATATTATATAATGATAATATCTACCTCAGAGAATTGTTAGGAGAATCAAATTAGGTGCTACATGTAAGACATTCAGCATATTCCCAGAATGATAATATTAGAAAAGTGGACTGTTTGCAGGGACTGAACACATCAATTCCCATAAAATTTCCTTCATTATATTCTACATAAACACAATGGAAATAGCTCATAGATCATGAGCACTCTGTGGAAAAAGGCAAGAGACCTTCTTCCTATTGTTTGTTTCTTTTTAAAGCTTTGACAATTCCTCTGTATGAAATACTTTTTTAAATAGTTAAATTTCCTTTTAATACTTTGCATTGACATAGTACCTCAGTTTTTCCTCACAATAACTATGAAGCCAGTATCATTATCCCCATCGCACTGTTGAAAACAACTGATCCTCAACGAAGTTCCTTGACTAACTTCGATTTTCTTGCCAGCCACTGGCAGAGAGTACAATTTAGGCTACACATGTGCAGCAGACAAAAAGTGAAAACAGCGAAAACCGGGAGGAACTTAAGGAAAGCAAACTTAAAATGGCACCAGTGCAAAAGGAAACTCACTGACAAAGGCATTTTCAAGGATTTCAGGGAAAGCAATAGCTGCGCTCCACCAATACCGCCACTAGATGGTGGTATTTCCATTATCTAGAGGTCTTGTGAGTTACCTTTCATCTGCCTAAGAGAGAAAATCAGAGAACTCTGTAAAGCCTGAGCTAGAGCAGTTCCGTCATCACAGCTTCTAACCTCCTGGCCAAGGCAAGCATCTTGAGGGCCACATCTCACATATACATATCTTCTGTACAGTCGGAACTAGAATTCCATTGACTTCTCCCTCTGCATGAGTGAATATGCTTCTTTATTGCTTTTTAACATCAAATCGTTAAACACGGAAAGCTATTGACTCTATTGGTATAATTCTCTCAGGTTTCAAAGGAAGTCAATGAAATGACAGTAAAAATGCCATACCAGTGTTTCATAAATGGACAGTTCACAGATGCAGACGATGGAAAGACTTACGACACTATCAACCCAACGGATGGATCTGTGAGTAATTCTTAAGTGTGTAGTGATCACTGGTCATGGATTTGTAGTTTATACACCGTGGTAAAACAGGCAGTCTTAAGAAACTCGATTATTCCCTCACTCTGCCTCTAAGCACTTTACACAAATGGACTTCATGCTTCCTTTCAATGACTCAATCCTGGTACCAGCTGCTATGAACTGTAGTAACCTATTTTATAGAACATTTATGATGAACTTAAACAGGTAGGTAGCTTTATGTATATACATCAGAGGCACTCATCTGCATAGAGCTACATGTGAAAAAAATTTTCAGACTTTGAAGACTCATGGCAAGAAATTCAGCTTTCCTAAGGCACTGGAAGAACTAGAGTTGTTCATTTTCCTAAATATGTTCTTCCATAAAGTAGTATGACATGAGAGGTACTAAACTTCTGGTTCACAATTTTCATATTAAAATTGTTCTTTTTCTTTACCATAGTACTGGATATACTCATTTTTCATCATAACACTCTTTTTGGATTTTATCAGTAATACCCTATATTTTTCTATTAATACAATATTAATTCCAAGAACCATATTTTCATATCTCTGATGTGGCCTATTTTTACTTATCTCGAAATAGATAATATGCAAAGTATCCTATGCTTCTTTGGCGGATGTTGATAAAGCAGTAGCAGCAGCAAAAGATGCTTTTGAAAATGGCGAATGGGGAAGAATGAATGCAAGAGAAAGAGGAAGACTGATGTACAGGTATTTTTTTTTTTTTTTTAACAAGTCTAGTAGAGACAGGGTTTCACTATGTTGGCCAGGCTGGTCTCAAACTCCTGACCTCAGATGATCTGCCTGCCTCAACCTCCCAAAATGCTGGGATTACAGGCATGAGTGGTAGCATGTGCCCATAGTGCCAGCTACTCAGGAGGCTGAGGCAGGAGAATTGCTTGAACCTGGGAGGTGGAGGTTGCAGTGAGCCAAGATTGCACCGCTGCACTCCAGCCTGGGAGAGACAATATCACTCTGTCTCAAAAAAAAAAAAAAAAAAAGAAAAAGAAAAGCAAGTCTACTACCTTTGGATACTGACTTACATTGCCAAGATTTAAAAAATTCTTGCAAAACATTCTAGTATGTACCTAATATGAAATATGTCTTCTGTTACTTGACTCATATTAAATCCCATATATGTGAGTTCCTGATTATGTTAGTATGCTTGCATCAGGCAGGGTCCCAGCTGGAAAAGAAGTTTAATAAATAACTGTTTACAAAGATGTGGGCAAGGGAATCCAATAAAGGATACTAAAGCATCTAGGCAGGGCTAGCAGCAGGGGGAAGCTGCTGTGCCTTTAAGGCCTGAAGGGACAGAAGAAGGAGCTGTTACTGGAATCTGGCAAGATCTGCATCTATAGAAAACCACTCTCCAGTGGAGGGACATGGCAGCTTCTGAACCACAGCCTATCAGTGAGGGAGCCAGGGAATCCAATTCCCTGACAACGTTTTCCTTCAGTGCACCAATCTCCTGCAGGTGCCTCCCAGTGGCCTCTCATTGGCCAAGCCCAATGTGAGAGCAAGGGAGCCAGGTGATGTAGTCTGTCAAGGTCATTCACTGGGGTCAAGGTCACATAGCAGTGTGGAGAATGGATACAGAGAGTGGCAAGTGGAGAATATCTAGCATTCCACTGTTTTCAAAAACAAATTTTAGATCAACTTGATGTGTAAGTCATAGGAACAAGGAAGAAAAATAATAAGGACTGGGAAGAATATTATAAATCAGTAACTAAGGATATGAGTAGTAATTAGATTCAGTCATAAATTCCATTTGCTGTTTACCTAAAATAAATATCTGATCTAGATCAAAAGGTATGATTTGGCTGTGTCCCCACCCAAATCTCATCTTGAATTGTAGCTCTGATAATTCCCCTGTGTCATGGGAGGGACCCAGCGGGAGGTAATTAAATCATGAGGGCAAGTCTTTCCTGTGCTGTTCTTGTGAAAGTAAGTCTCACAAGATATGGTTTTATAAAGGGCAGCTCTGCTGCACATGCTCTCTTGCCTGCCACCATGTAAGACATGTCTTTGCTCCTCCTTTGCCTTCCACCATGATTGTAAGGCCTTCCTAGCCCTGTGGATCTGTGAGTCAATTAAACCTATTTCCTTTACAAATTACCCAGTCTCAGGTATGTCTTTATTAGCAGCGTGAGAATGAACTAATACAAGCAAGATCTGGAAGAAAGATTGTGGGAGGGGGATTTCAAGCTGGACTCTAGAGTGGCCCCAAAGGAACAGCTCAGAGAACCACTGCAAATACAGAAGAAAAACAAATAGATGAGTTGAACACAAAAGATGAATTTTTACTGTATCAAAGTCATTATACAGTCCTGCACTTACTTTCCCATAAAACTGAACACCAAACAGAAATCTGTCATAGTGTGTGTAATTCATTCTGTATGTTTCTATCTTGTCTCTTCAGTTAGTGTTAGAAATATTTTTGTGCCAACCAGAAATCCTCAAACGTTCATGGGTTCTCAAAAGGTGTGGGTTACACTCCAGTATCTCCCTGCATATTCATGAACTGTCCACATCCCTACTGTTTTCTATCATCGACCTCCTTGTTTTACCATGACTCAGTCATTGTTCTACTTCTTACACATATTTGAGGCAAGTTGTACACACTTCCAATACCTGCTGCTTCTCCTTTGTAATTCTTGAAACAAATGATTTATGAAATTTTGTTTACTGCTTTCTTCCCTACTGGACCATGATCTCCCTAAGGGCAGAGATCTGATCCATATGTGTTTACCTCTGAATTCTCCATCCTTAGGATACTGTATTCTATGCAACAGAAGCTCAATCAGTACTTGTTGAGTTAATTTCTTTCACTGACTACACAGACTTGCAGATCTACTGGAAGAGAACCAAGAAGAGCTGGCAACCATTGAAGCCCTTGATTCAGGGGCTGTCTATACCTTGGCTCTGAAGACTCACATTGGAATGTCTGTGCAAACATTCAGATATTTTGCTGGCTGGTGTGACAAAATCCAGGTAAGCACAAATGTTATTTGTCCTGAAAGAAAAAGGGACTAACATTGATTAGTTTGTACCAGGCACTGTGTCAGATCCTTTTTTTATGAAGGTTTTTTTTACACCAACATAACAGGGTTGCCTTGGTCCATTTTATGCTGCTATAACAGAATACCTGAGACTAAGTAATTTATAAAGAACAGAAAGTTATTCTCCCACAGTTCTGGAGGCTGGGAAGTCTAAGAAAAAGGTGCCAGCAGGTTTGGCCTCTAGTTTTAAGATGGTGCCTTGTTGCTGCATCCTCTGGAACAGATGAACATTATGTCCTTACCTGGCAGAAGAGTAGAAGAGACTGAACCCAATCCTTCAAGCCCGTTTTTTAATTTTAATTTTAATTTTTTTTTTTTAACTTTTGAGACAGAGTCTCACTCTTGCCTCTCAGGCTGGAATGCAATTGTGCCATCTCAGCTCACCGCAACCTCCGCCTCCTCGTTCAAGCAATTCTTCTGCCTCAGCCTCCTGAGTAGCTGGGATTACAGGCACTTGCCACCATGCCTGGCTAATTTTTGTACTTTTAGTAGAGACGGGGTTTCACCATGTTGGCCAGGCTGGTCTTGAATTGATTCGCCCACGTTGGCCTCCCAAAGTGCTAGGATTACAGGCGTGAGCCACTGCACCCAGCCCCTGCAAACCCTTTTTATAGCAGCGTGATCCATTCATTAAGGTGGACCCCTCATGACCTAAACACCTCCTATTAGGACCCTACCTCCCAACACTGTTGCATTGGGGTTTAAGTTCCCAGCACATAAATTTTGGGGGCCACTTTCAGACCCTAGCCATGGTTGTAACATCTACAGAAAGTAAATGGATAGCTCTTATCCCCTTATTACATGTGAAGAAACAGACGCTTGAGGATGTGGATGCCTTTCCTATAATTCATAGCAAGTAATCCATACAACAAGATTTGAATTCAAGATTTTCTAAATCTAAAGTCTAATGATATTCTTTGCACTTTACTATAATATCTCCTGAGGGTGTTGAATAGTTTTCTAGACATTTTAGAGAAAACTTAGTATCACGTAGGGCTTACAAATTCAAATACCTACAAAGGCCAGAGAGCTACTGTAGACGGTGTAAGCAGACTGAGTATGAGAAAAATTTTGTCTTTGAACATGTGTCCTAAGAGAAATAAATTTCAAAAAAAAATTTTTTTTTTCCTTTGAGATGGAGTCTTGGTCTATCACTCAGGCTGGAGTGCAGTGGTACCATCTCAGCTCACTGCAACCTCTGCCTCCCAGGTTCAAGTGATTCTCCTGCCTCAGCTTCCCAAGTAGCTGGGTTTACAGGTGCCCACCAGCACATTCCGCTAATTTTTGTATTTTTAGTAGAGGCGGGGTTTCACCACGTTGGCCAGGCTGGTCTCAAACTCCTGACCTCAAGTGATTTGCCTACCTCGGCCTCCCAAAGCGCTGGGATTTCAGGCATGAGCCACTGTGCCTGGCAAAAAAACAACAACAAAAAAAACTTTTTCAAAGAAAAATTTTGATAAAAGACACAGGAACAATAAATAAATATTTCATTTTCCTTTTACTATAATAATAGCAAACATGGCGTGATAATGGCAGCGATACTAGCTCCAGCACTGGGGGTACAAAAGGGAAAGGTAGGATCTGTAGCAAACTGCAGTACACATATTCCCCAAAGACTCATAATAATCACTGCGGTACCAGTCATTGGAACAAGCTTCCCAGCAGCAAAAAGAAGGAAGTGAGAAAGGGGGAGTGGTAAAAGGAATTTACAAAGCATTCTTACTTCCCAGTACCTTTTGCTTATATCCCTCCGTGGCCATCTCTATCTGCTAAGGAGACTGGAAAACATCCTATTTCATCTGGGTACGTTGCTGCCACCAATGTTAATGTACAGTCAGATAGACCTGAGTCCAAGTTTCAGCTTTGGCATGTTATCAGCCGATGTTGTTAAAGTTATTTCATCTCTCCAAACCTTACTTTCCTCCTCTATGAAATGGTCACAATAACACATACTTTGCAAGTTACGTTCTGAGGATTGGAAACAAGTATTTGTATGCTACAGGATTAGTCGAGTCTGCAACATAGCAGGTTTGCACAAAAATGAAGTTTTTATTGTGGTTCAGCCACAAAGTCATGCATATATTGATATTTACTGATGGTAGTTCAGATCCATCTCTTATCCCCAGTTATGAAATCCAGATAGCTCTGAAACCCAAAAATTGTTTGATTGGTTCAAACTCATTTGATGTCAAACCCTGACCTGAATGAACATAATCTATTAATAATATTTATTCATATCACCTAGAGTGAATATGCCAATGTTTCAATGAATAAATACTAGTGTGTTTGGTTATGGGAAATCAAACGCAAATACCTTATGTTATCTACTACCCCAGCAAGATTTGGGTAAGATTTCCCAAATCTTGGGAATTTCCCATAATCTTGGGAAATCTTACCCAAATCTTGCTGGGGTAGTAGATAATATAAGGTATATACACTATATAACATTTCTGAAGTCCAAAACATTCTTAATTCCAAAACATAACTGGCTACAAGTATTTTAAGAAATTGTACAATCTATTAGTAGTAGCAATAATATTTTCTGTGGCAAAGCAAATTAATAGCTTTCATTAAAGGATACTATTGTGAATCTGTTAGGATTAACTTGGCCGCATATAATAGTGAATTTAATCCTATTTTTTATCCTATTATTTTTCTCTCACTTTCAAGGAGTCCAAAGACAGGCAGTCAGGACTAGTCTGTGAGATGCAAACTCTTTTCTGCCTTTGTTAGGCCAACTTTAGTACATGTGACCTCCAACCTCAAGGTTGACTCATGGTCTCAAGAAGACCAATGCAGTACCAGCCATTTCAGCAACAGTCTAAACAGGAAGAAGGAGGAAATAGATATGGAGGGAAGAATAAAATAGTTCAGTTAGCCTAGTTTAAATAGCATTCGCCTTCCAATGCCTTGTGCTTGCATCTTCCATTGACCATCCCTAATCTGGAGAATGGGAACCATAGTACTTGATCTGGGCATATTGCTGTCCCCATTATTAATATAGAGATTCTGTTACTAAGGACAGAGGGAAGAGTGGATAATAGGCAGGCAATTCACATTCTCTGCCACGCCAAGCAATTGGGAATGGACTAAATTAGAATTACATTTATTCTACTGTGTTTCATGGTTCTCTTGAGAAACAAATAGCTGTTCCTTCTTTGGCATGGATATAGTTCTTATCAACAAACACTTTTCATATCAGCTAAGAAAAAGTAAGAGAGAAAGACGGAAAATGGATACTTTGAGATGAAATTTACTTATTTAAATCAGTAAAATAAGTATCAACTTTTCTTATTCCTTAGGGTTCTACTATTCCAATTAACCAAGCCCGTCCAAATCGCAATCTGACCTTCACCAAGAAAGAACCACTCGGGTAAGATAAAGGGAGTGCCTCTGAGTGAATCATGAGTTGTGTTATTTGAAACAACTAAGCATGCCGAATTTCTTCCCTTGCAGCGTCTGTGCCATTATTATTCCCTGGAACTACCCGCTGATGATGCTGGCCTGGAAGAGCGCAGCGTGTTTGGCAGCAGGCAACACCTTAGTGCTCAAGCCTGCACAGGTAAGGCACAAAGGGCCAGGTGCAGAATCGCCTCCTCTCTTAGATCCAGTACTTCAAAAAAGTGACATATATTTATATATAGCAAACAAAAATGAGATTATATGGCATTTTTCTCATATATCATGGACAACTTTTCTTATCAGTAAATAGTCACTTTTAATGGCTACCTAATACATTGTATGGAGATGCCACAGTTTAAAACTTTCATCATAATAGAAGCAAGCATAGTGCACATCAGTGAAGTCCATTGACTTCCCACAAACCAATTCAATTCTTGCAGAATGCCAAATGCCCAACAATTAGGGAATTATTTAATTATGAGACATCAAAAAAAGTATTATGCAGGTATTCAAACTGAATTGTCAAAAATACTGTAAAGGCAGAGGTTGCGATGAGCTGAGATCGTGCCACTGCACTCCAGCCTGGGCAACAGAACTTGACCCTGTCTCAAAATATATATATATATATATATATATATATATATATATATATATATATATAGTGAAGATGGAAGATGAGGGAAAAGCATGTAAAAGAATGTCTGTAATTGTGGCAACTCTGTAAAAATATATCCAGATGGATAACAAGAAAATACTTTTAAGAAGTAGTTCCGGTAGTTCTCAAAGAATCTTTTAGTGCTACAATAGCTTTTTAAGAAAAAAACACAGCAGCCAAGTTAACACTGGCTGAGCCTTTACTATGTAAAGTACGAAGAAAAATAAACTTCTTCCTTGGGTTTCCGTTATATGCAGGTAACTGTACTAGGTAGCAGGCTTTCTGAGGTGCATAAGTCATGGAGAAAACTTGGACATTATTCTAGATTGTATAATCTGTTACCTGTCAACTCTTTTATTTCTTCTTACAGAACTTAAAAAAAATACAATTTCATTTGGCATAGCTACATGGTCATGTGGCCGTGGCCATTTTGTTTTAATCGCTGAAAATGATTTAATTTGAAAAAGTAGGTATACATGTAAAGTTTTCAAAATTCAAAAGATACAAAGAGGTAAATAGTGAAATGTCTCCCTCCTGTCCTTATTCCCCAGCCAACCGGTTTACCTCCCAGAGACAACCAATGTAATTAACTGGTATCTGTTAGTGGCTTAGATATTCCAGAGATAGTCTCTACATATATATGTGTATATTAAAGAATACGTAGTTTTATATGTATATGTAGAGAGATACATATTATTATATGTAGATATATCTTATTATGTATGTGTATATGTATATATTGCTACTTAATGGGCATAAAGCTTCAATTATTGGCCAGGTGAGGTGGCTCAAGCCTGTAACACCAGCACTTTGGGAGGCCAAGATGGGTAGATCACTTGAGGTTAGGAGTTCGAGAACAGCCTGACCAACATGGTGAAAATCCATCTCTACTGAAAACACAAAAAATTAGCCGGGCATGGTGGCAGGTGTCTGTGATCCCAGCTACTCCAGAGACTGAGGCAGGAGAATTGCTTGAACCCAGGAGGCAGAGGTTGCAGTGAGCAGAGGTTGCGCCATTGCACTCCAGCCTGGACGACAAGAGTGAAACTGCATCTAAAGAAAGGAAAAAAGCCCTTCAATTATGTAAGATGAGTCAGTTCTAGAGGTCCTCTGTACAACGTTGTACCTATAGTTAACAATACTATATTTTGCACTTCAAAATTTGTTAAGAGAGTAGAGCTCAGGCTAAATGTTCTTACCACAATAAAATAAAATTTTTAAAAACACACACAAAAAGTAGCGTTCTATATACTTACCAAAGGAAAAAAATCTATTTTTTTTAGCAGTTTCCATTGTATAGCTAAAACAAATTTTACTTAACCAACCCATAATTATGGATATTCAGATTTTCTCTCCTTTTGCTGTATAAACCATACTAGAGTTAATAACCTTATCAACCTTATAAGTAGAATGCACATGTGCAAGTGTGTTTACAGGATATGTTTCTAATAGCAGAATCCCTCTGAAAAAATACATCTATTTGTGTGATAGATATTGACAACTCCATCCATGGGGGTCATATTAGCGCACCAGCATTGTACAAGAGTGCTGTTTCCCAGTCTTGTTTAATGGGTGCACCATCCATTAAACAGCAAGAAGCTAGTTGAGTGAAGTGAGGAGACAGGTAATGTAGCCCAGTGGAGCTCCACACTGGCTATACATTAGAATCACCTGAAGTTCTCCTTTTAAAATGCTGATATCAGGCCCCACTGGCAGAGATGAGGCCTGATATCAATATTTAAAAAGGAGAGATCTGATTTAATTGGTCTAAGTTGGAGACCATGCATTAGTATTACTTAAAAGCTTCACATTCTCCCAAGGCACAGCAAGGATGGAGAACCAGTAAATGATATCCAGTGAGAGTGCTAATCACTGAAAAATGGCAATGAGTATATAGAATGTCCAAAAATTACAAACATTTCTTGAGTGTATAGCAGTTGCCAGGCAGGTAGTAGTGATGAAGATATCCAAAGTTTCTGTTCCCATGTAAATTACAGTCTGGCTCTATCTGCAATTTAAAACTGGTAGTTTTATAGTTGAAGATCATTTAAAATCTGAGAATGAAAGCCCCAAAGGTGCCATTGTTATGCTGGAGTTTTTTATTTTATTGGATAATATTATGCAATGATGCATTTATAATATGCATTTATAGTATGAATGTCAGGAGGATTGAATTTAGATGATTCTTAAACTGGTTGTCTGCTTTGTTTTATGTGTGAAAGATTCCCTCCTGGCTTCAAACAAATGAAAGCACTGATTTCTATGGCCTAGAGTGGCTGGTCCAGGTGTGACAAGTTCAGACTTTATTAACCTAATATTTAGCAATGATCTACCCTAGCCCAGAACCATACTAGAGGCTTTCTCACATATTATGCAAACATATAATACTACAGAAACACTGAATAGCCAAATGGCAGAAAACCAATATAAATGAAAAGAGTTGTGATAGAGATGAAACCAGTTATTTTATTTATAAATCATATTTTAAAACCTTTATATTCTTAATTTAAAAGAATTATAATTAATTTTGGAGAGTTAGTTTTTAAACATTTTTCTAATTATGATGGTTGCATACCAAAGCATAATAAGATACAATTGGGCTAGGATTATCTTCACCTATACTAGATGCAAATCCACTATTTCAACAGTCCTGATAATTTCAAATGTCTTGGGCCAACTTCTCATCGAGTTAAGTCTACATTGACATTTCACAAACCTCACAATGTGACTGTCATGGACCTGCTACTAGAAGGAGGAAAAGCGGTAGCCGTGCTTCTTTCTTGTTTGCTTGTGGTTGCCTCGTTACTATTATTATTTATTGTGCAGTTTCTCTGCGCATTTTTTGGCCACTTGCTCATTTGATGAAGACAAGGTTAATTGAAATAACAATATAGTCTGTGAACCCATGTAACCAAGCCTGTAAACGTCATCAGAGGGCAATCTTCTGAAAGCAAATGAGCAAGGGAAGGAACCACTGCCACCCTTTTGGACTTGTGAGTGCCTGTTCTTTCCTGGAGCACTGCCCATACCTTTGAGACCCATGACCATATGACCTTCATTCAGACTGTGTGAGAGCACTGTTACCCAGCCATACAGTAAATGTTAGTTATGGTTCATTTATTTCATATCTTTGTCAGCTAAAAGATATAAATGGAAGTTCCACTATTTTCTTCTCACACCTCAATGGATCCTCTTGCACACCTCATTTTTAGAGTCCAAGCTAACCAAGTACTAACTTAAAACTGAATCAATGTTGGCTTTTAAGAGTGTGAAAGTACTGCTTACATTTTGCTTTGGAGATTTGCATTGCTATAACAGATATTTAAGGTCAGACGCATATTATCCCACTTTTTATGTGAGAAAGAAGGGAAAATAAGAAAATATGTATTTGCTGATTTGAATAAAAGGAAACACAGGAAAGATAAGTGGAGACTAGAGACTAACGAAATTGATGATCTATAGAACATGGGAGCTGGAATGGGGTAGAAAGGAGGGTGGGAAAACATTCTCTGAATGGACCATTTGAATAGTCCTGACTTTTGGAAGCATATTCCCCATATTCAATGACAACAAACAAAGAAAAGAAATGTAATCAACACAGATGGGGCAAAAATCCTAAAGTTAAATAGAAACAAAAACAAATTCAGCCATATTTCAAATAAATAACATGACCCCGTTGAAGGGAGTGAGGAAGCATGAACCAAGTCACTTTTGACCAACTTCAGACTATATGTCCTCAGGATAAAGGCAACGCAAAAGAACAACAACAGAAAAACCTAAATCCACCTTGAACTCTCATGAGTAGGCTTTTTTTTTTTGTAGGGACATGGCTTAACATTCTCAAATTACTCTCTCTATGTTTTAGGATTAAGCAAATAAGTAAATATATTGTGGATAACGGGAGCCATGTCTCTCTTTCTTGGAGAAGAGAATCACAAATGTAAAAGGGCAGAAGGTTAGAATCGACCCTGAGATACCAGGTGAAGGTATCCGTGTAAACTCATGGGTTTTAATGTATTTAGATAGCTAAATAAAGAAATGGATATCGTTATATGTGGGATAGATACACACATACATATAAACGTGTGTATGTGTTGTGTATACATACATCTCTTTCCCAGCTCTGTCTGCTAAAAGGGCCTGGAAGAAATGACCCCTCAATAATGTCCAGATATATTGGTTTCTAAATACCATCTTCTCTCAAAGAAACCTGGACTCCTTGGAGAAGTGGCTGAAGTGGGGAAGAATCAGATGAACCTGAAATATTTCATTGGGTTTGAAAGAAATGTAATGCCCAAACAATAATAGGGGTATGTCCGAATGATACAGAGGCCATACTAAAGGGACTCCCACAGCCAAATCTAGAAAAAATGAACATCGAAATCAACAATGATAGTAAACAATGACAACCTGCTGATTATAGTAAGAATCTATGCATTCACATTGATATTAATTACTTAAACAGAAAGGAAAACACTTACGGGGAGAGCCAACTAATACATGTAGAAAGAATGATGCAATTGGAAAATCACCTTTTGGCAACCATCATAATGATTTATGATTACTATCCAGAAATTATCCATGGATACTAAAACTAGTGGATGAAAATTTGAGAAGTATCTCCCCACAAAATAAATGACAATGTATAATACAGTAACTTACAGTGATGAAAGTTGGCAGACTACATTTGCCAAATAGTTAAAACTAACATTTCCAGTACTGGGACTATTCCACAGCATGTGCCTCCTGATGTGATATCCTGAGAAAAGCTCGGCCATCGCTCCAGTAGCATTTGTTGCCAAAAGTGCATAACTTGAATCTAATCATGAGGAAACATCAGACAAATCCAGACAAAGAGACGTTGTATGAAATAACTCACCTGTACTCTTCAAAAATGTCAGTGTAATGAAATAGAAAACACAGAAACTCTCTTAGATCACTGGAGACTACAGACATAACTAAATGTAATGCAGATGTTGGATTTTCTTTTGCTGTAAGACATTATTGGGATAATTGGTGAAATCTGAATATAGTCTGCAAATTACATATTCTATCAGTTAGTCATTTCCTGATTTTGATAATTGTACTATGATTATGTAAAAGAATTTCTTGTTTTATAGAAAATGCACACAGAAGTATTTAGAAGTATGGAGTACGTCTTTACCTTATTCTTAAATGGTTCAGAAAAAGATATCCCTTAAATTTATCTTTAAAAAATAGTTTAGAAAAAAATACATACAGAAAGATAATGCAAACACAATAAAATATTGACTGAGGAATCTGAATGGAAATATATATAAGGAATTCTTATACTATTTTTGCATCTTTTTGTAAGTCTGAAATTATGGCAAAATAAAAAAAAAGATAATGTACAATAAAAAAAAAAATGAGCTCTAGTACAGCTATCAAGGGAAAACTGAGTTCGGGGCTAAAGGGCAGGACGGAGCCTGAAGAAGGTGATTGCTGTCTGCTTCTCTCCAGGTCACACCCTTGACTGCTTTGAAGTTTGCAGAGCTGTCTGTGAAAGCAGGCTTTCCAAAGGGGGTCATCAACATCATTCCGGGCTCAGGTAAGCCACAAATGACCCACTGTGCTGTAACTAATGAATGGTACTGGGGTAGCTGAGTGGCTGTTTTCCCACTAGAGACCTGTCCTGAATTATAACTGTATTAAAATTAAATACAATTTACCGAACTGTTAAGGATGAATATACTTACCACGTGCTAAAATCTTAAAATGGAAATACAGTGGTGGGTGAGTGGCAGTGGGGAGGGGTGTTGTACAGTCATGTAAAATTACCCTAAGATGTTCCATTTTGATTTTCAAAAACTACTCTGGAAGATAAAAATCAGGGATTACCCATCATTAATTTGGGAGTCTAATAATTTCATAAAGGATATTATTTTAGACTTTTACCAGTTTGCACTTAATACAGAAATTTAAAACTAAGGTGCCAGTGAGAGCTTAGAAATCTACTGCAATGAATTTAAAGCCATCTTCACCGTAAGAATTTGAGTATGTTTTAATTCATTTTATTCCCTAATTCTACAGGTGGCATAGCAGGACAACGTCTGTCTGAACATCCTGACATCCGCAAACTGGGTTTCACTGGTTCCACACCTATTGGCAAACAGATCATGAAAAGGTATTGGTTTTAATATGTTGATTCACTGCAGATTCTGTTAAACTAGGTTTCAATTTTTGTTTTAAATAGGGTACTTTTGGAATGAGAAAATCTACATGTAATTTGGAAGAGAAATTTACTTATCACTGCTGAGTACTGAAATATTTGAATGTAACAAAATACTTTCCAAAGCTTTAAAGCCCAGAGTCAATAAAAGCAAAGCTATGTTGAAATTCTACACCCTACTGATAGTTTTAACAATTCAGCACAAAAGAGCTTCTGTATTAAAGCTGTGGCCCAAACTGTTTTTTGAAGTACGGGTAAAAAACCAAAAAGATATATAAACATCAAATTCATATATTTTATATGACAAACCTGGATTATTTATAAAATGGAGTCCCCCAAGCAATATTTTTTAAAACTGAAAGCAATCTAAATGTGCAAAATAAAGCAGTTGTTAAAATATGTCAATGTAATAGAGTACTGTACAGTCATGTTCATAGAGAATTTTAATAACTAAAAAGTATTATTAAAATAATCAATGGAAATAAAGGTAAAGTATAACGCTGTATACATTGGATGATCTCAACTATGTTAAACAAGGCAAAAACTATGGTAGGGCAGACCACGAACAGGTCGTATATCAAAAGGGTAAAAAGCAACGGTCACTGAAGCATGGAATGGAATTTTGTGATTTTTTTCCTTCTGTTTGCATGTTCGGGGAGCTATTTTCAAAATGTTTTAAATAAGAATACTGTATCAAATTTCTTTTTGTAAGAAAGAAAAAATAAACAGCATACTTCATACTTTAAGAAATTGATTACTTTTTCTCCCACTGCTTCAGTAGACTGGTTAGAGGTTTAATTCCTTGCTAGGCCTTTATGTAACCAAAATTCCTAAAGAATTTGAATTTACTTATGATAATCTCTAATCATGTGATCACAACATTTTTGAAAACTTTTTTATCATGGAAAATTTCTAATATATACAAAGCAGAAAAGCAAAATGAATTCTATGTACTCATCGCTCAGCATCAATGGTAATCACCATCCTACCATCTATGTTTTACCTATGAATAAGTTTTCCCTTTTTCTTTCTTTTGTTTTTTAAGAGACAGGGTCTCACACTGTCACCCAGGCTGGAATACAGTGGTGATCACAGCTCACTGCAGCCTCGAATTCCTGGGCTCAGGTGATCCTCTTGCCTCAGCCTCCCAAGTAGCTAGCACTACAGGCACACACCACCATACCTGCCTCATTTTTTAATTTTTTTGCAGAGATGAGGTCTTGCCATGTTGTGCAGGCTGGTCTCAAATTCTGGCCTTAAAGGGTCCTTCTGCCTTGATCTCCCAAAGTGGTGGGATTACAGTTGTGAGTCACTGTGCCTGAATATGTTTCTTAATATTTCTGAGGCTCAATATGTTTTCCATGCCAGGTAGTAACTTAAAGCTTAAAAAGTGTGTGTGGGGGTGGAGTGGGGGGGTGTCAGAGAGAGTGGGAAGAGACAGAGAGAGAGATGTTAACTAAATGCTCATTTCTCATTTATTTTCCTCTAGCTGTGCTGTGAGCAACTTGAAGAAAGTTTCCCTTGAGCTTGGTGGCAAGTCTCCACTTATAATATTTAATGACTGTGAACTTGACAAGGCTGTGCGAATGGTAAGAGTGGGTTAAATTCAAGTAAATATGTGCCTGGGCTGGTGGAGTGGTTCATGCCTGTTATCCCAGCACTTTGGGAGGCTGAGGAGGGTAGATCACCTGAGGTCAGGAGACCCGCCTGGCCAACATGGTGACACCCCGTCTCTACTAAAAATGCAAAAAAATTAGCCAGGTGTGGTGGTGGATGCCTGTAATGGCAGCTACCTGGGAGGCTGAGACAGGAGAATCGCTTGAACCCAGGAGGTGGAGGTTGCACTGAGCTGAGATCACGCCACTGTACTCCAGCCTGAGTGGCAAGAGCGAGACTCTGTCTCAATAACAACAACAAATAGGTGCTTGCGTCTAAAACACCTTTCACCTCCTTCTTTACCAGAGGCCTTAAAATGAGATTTGGTTTTTGTCTAGTCGTAAAATAAAAGCATCTTTTTTATGCTTAGATTCGGAAATACTTAGAGCACTTAGTTTTTAAAAATAATGTCTTCATAATAACCCTACTAAGGTGTTTTTTGAAAGGATGTAAGTCATAGCAGGCATGTAAAAAAGTTCAAAAGATATTCTATTAGGGCTTTCAGCTTCTCCCTCCTTTCCCACAACATCTCATCCCATCAGCTTGAACAGTCCTATTTTTACCTGCTTTGCACATCGAGCTTCTGATAAGGGTTTTAGACACAACAAAGGGTTTCATATTTAACAAGTTAATTGGCAACATCAATTTCCCGGTTTTAGCAATGTACAATGGTTTTTTAAGATGTTATCATAGGGGAGGCCAGGTAAAGGGCACACAGGAACTCTTACACTATTTTTGCAACACCTTGTGAGCCTTAAACTACTTCAAAGTACAAAGGCTAATTTTAAATAAAATACAAAGGTTAAAAAAAAACATTGGCCTAGTTCTTATTCTTCATATCTGAGATAAAGGCATAAAATGAGTCAATGGTTGGCATAGGTTGTGCTAAGCTTTCTTGTAATTCTGGTGGAAATTTATGGTCTTCCCAGTTCTGTACAACTGTCCAGCTATGCACTAAGCAGACTCTGTTCACTGTTCCCCCTAAATGTCATTTTAATGAACACTCATAGTCAAAGCTCATCACGTAAGCAACCCAAAGAGAATGGAGTGGTCTGGGAGTGAAGAAAGGCCATGTGCCCCTGCGCCCAGGGCCTTTGAGTAGACTGTGAGGTTTCAGTGACAGACAATGGCTGGGGTTACACGAACTGACTTCAGGGGTCAGGACTCCCCTGGATGTCTGGATTAGAAATGTATAAGCTTAAAGGGTCTTTGTTTTGGCCGGGCACAGTGGCTCACACCTGTAATTCCAGCGCTTTGGGAGGCCAAGGCAGGTGGGTCATGAGATCAGGAGTTTGAGACCAGCCTGACCAATATGGAGAAGCCCTGTCTCTACTGAAAATACAAAAATTAGCAGGGTGTGGTGGCGCACACCTGTAATCCCAGCTACTCAGGAGGCTGAGGCAGGAGAATCGCTTGAACCTGGAGGCGGAGGTTGCAGTGAGCTGAGATCATGCCACTGCATTCCAGCCTGGGCAACAGAGCGAGACTTAGTCTGGAAAACAAAACAAGAGTCTTTGTTTTAACCATTTAAGAACCCCAAACCCAAGATGGTCAATGTATTTTTGTAATGTTTAAAGGTAAAATGGTGTTTTTTTTTTTTTTTTTTTTTTTTTTAATCGAAAGCAGGATCTTGAACAGATATCTGCACATTCATGTTCACTATGTCATTTTTCTTTTATTATTTTTATTTTTTTTTTAATAAGAAAAAGAATAAAGAAGAGGAAGAAAGAGGAAGAGGGAGAGAGGACGGGGGTATTGCTTTATTGCCCGGGCTAGAATGCAGTCTAAATATGGGTATGCCTATAATTGTCCTTAATAATGGAGATATAAAAGAAAATGAGGGAAGAGAATAACAAACAAGGAGCCAATGAACATTTCGTTTAAACTTCTAAGTTGATATGATGTGGTACTGATCTACGTATTCCTGTATTGGGTGCATGTATATTTAGGATCTTTAGCTCTTCTTGTTGTTGCATTGATCCTTTTATCATTATATAATGTCCTTCGTTGCTTCTTTTGATCTTTGTTGCTTAATTGTAACTTCTGCTTTTTATTTATTTATTTTAGCTCTCTGTTTGGTTGGTAAATCCTTCTCCATCTCTTGTTTTGAGTCTTTGTGTATCCTTGAATGTGAGATGGGTCTGGATGCAGCATACTGATGGGTTTTAGTTTTTTATTCAAATTGCCTGTCTGTCTTTGGATTGGGGGATTTAGTCAATTTAAATTTAGAATCAATAATAATATATGTGAGTTTAATACTGCCATTTAATATTAGCTGGCTATTTTGCCCATTAGTTGATGTAAATTCTTCATTATATTGATGCTCTTTTTGGTATTTTTTTAAGAAAGGCTGATACTGTTTGTTCCTTTCTATGTGTAGTGGTTCTTTCAGAAGCTCTTGTAAAGCAGGCCTGGTGGTGATGAAATCTCTGAGTGCTTGCTTGTTCACAAAAAACTTTATTTTTCCTTCACTTGTGAAGCTTAGTTTGGCTGGATGTGAAATTCTGGGTTGAAAGTTCTTTTCTTTAAGGATGTTGAATATTGGCCCCCACTCTCTTCTGGCTTGTAGGGTTTCTGCTGAGAGATCTGCTGTAAGTCTGATAGGCTTCCCTTTGTGGGTAACCTGACCTTTCTCTCTGGCTGCCCTTAGTATTTTCTCCTTCATTTCAACCCTGGTGAATCTGACGATTATGTGCCTTGGAATTGCTCTTCTTGAGGAATATCTTTGTGGTGTTCTCTGTATTACCTGGAGTTGAATATTATCCTGCCTTACTAGGTTGGGAAAATTTTCCTGAATAATGTCCTGAAGTGTATTTTCCAGCTTGGATTCATTCTCTTCCTCACTTTCAGGTACACCTATCAAGCGTAGATTAGGTCTTTTCACATAGTCCCCTATTTCTTGGAGACTTTGCTCATTCCTTTTTATCCTTTTTTCTCTAGTCTTGTCTTCTTGTTTTATTTCATTGAGTTGGTCTTCGACCTCTGATATCCTTTCTTCTGCTTGATCAATTCGGCTGTTAAAACTTGTGCATACTTCACGTAGTTCTCGTATTATGTTTTTCAGCTCCATCAATTCAGTTATATTCCTCTCTAAATTGTGTATTCTTGCTAACATTTTGTCAAATCTCTTTTCGAAGTTCTTAGTTTCTTTGGATTGGTTTAAAATGAGTTCTTTTAATTCACAGAAGTTTCTCATTATCCACATTTTGAAGCCTGCTTCTGTAATTGGAACACACTCGTTCTCCATCAAGCCTTGTTCCGTTGCTGATGAGGAACTAAGATCCCCTGCTGAGGGAGAGGCGTTCTGATCTTGGGTATTCTCAGCCTTTTTTGGCTGTTTTCTTCCCTTTGTTATAAATTTATCCATCTGTGGTCTTTGTATTTACCGTCTTTGTAACTGGGTTTCTGAGTGGTCGTCCGACTTATTGATTCTCAGCGCCGAAATCTGAGCAACCCACTGCGCTGACTAAATCAGCGGCGTTAAGATTGATGGTGCTTTTCTGACTCTGCACCAAGAACCGACGCTCCGAGGCGCCGGCAAAACCGCCTCGCCGGTCACAAGAGTCGCGCTGGTGGTGACCCGTGGGGCTCCTCCGCTGGGAATCTCCTGGTGCGTGAGCAACAAGAATTCATGTGAAGGTGTGGCATCCTCTCATTCTTTGCGCTTTCACTGGGAGCTACAATCCCGAGCTGCTAGTGATCAGCCATCTTGGATCTCTCTCGTTTAAAGGTAAAATGTATGCACAGGAAAAACATGTTATTTCAAAGCATTCATTGTTATATTTTGTTTTTGAGATGGGATCTCACTATGTTGCCCAGGTAAGTCTTAAACTCCTGGACTAAAGTGATCCTCCTGCCTTGGCCTCCCAAGTGGCTGGAATTACAGGTGTGAGCCACTGTACCCAGCCACATCCATTTTTTTAAAATACAGTCCAGAGAGGTTTCCTGCAGTGAATTAGAAACTGGATTTATAAAAAGGGAAAATGTGCAAAATTCATCAGTCTTCCAAAATCTGTCATTTTTGAGTATCATCATTTCAAAGATTTCTGAAAAATAGTAGTTCTTTCGTGAGGGGGTTAGAGAGGCTTTTTAAATATTTATGATTCATGGCTGGGCATGGGTGGCTTATGCCTGTAATCCCAGCACTTTGGGAGGTCGAGGTAGAAGGATCGCTTTAGCCTCGGGGTTCATGACCAGCCTGGGCAACATGGTGAGACCCTATCTCTACAAAAAAATAAAATAAAATTAGCCCAGTGTGGTAATGTGCACCTGTGGTCCCAGCTACTAGGGGGACTGAGATGGGAAGATCACTTGAGCCCAGGAAGTTGAGGCTGCAATAAGCCATGATCACACCATTGCACTCCAGCCTGGGTGACAGAGAGAGACACTGTCTTAAATAGACAAACAAATAAATAAATAATTTATGATTACACAATCTAATGTAGAGATTTTTAAAAACAAAACTTGGTATATAAGTTATCACATTTAAATTTATAGAATAATCTAGATTTTCTAGGCCAAGGCAGGAGGGTTGCTTGAGCCCACGTGTTGAGACCAGCCTGAGCAACATAGTGAGACCCTGTCTCTAAAATAAATAAAAATTTAAAAATTAGCCGGGTAAGGTGGTGCACACCTGTAGTGCCAGCTACTTGGGAGGCTGGGGTGAGGAGGACAGAGACTCTATCTCTGAAAAATAAACTAAAAAAGAGAATAATCTAGATTTTATTTTAATACCAAATTTGTTTCTGATGGTACATCTTTACTATTACACGTACAATTTTTGAAATGCTCATGGACCAAAAGGGGGAAAGGATAAACAAAATCTCTCAAATCATGCTAAATCAAAACAGAGTGTCTCCAAGCTCTCATCACTAACAAGGCCAGGGGGATTTTCTATGACTTCTCGGTATTGTCTGCTGTCTTCCAAAAACAACTGATTCCCTCTGTGTACAGCTTTATGAGAATCTTGACTCCTCAAGTGATGTCAGCAATGTTTTCTCTTCTCCCGCTGAAGGGCATGGGGGCAGTGTTTTTCAACAAAGGAGAGAACTGTATTGCTGCTGGGCGGTTGTTTGTGGAAGAATCCATCCACGACGAGTTTGTGACAAGAGTGGTGAGGCGCCTTCACATTTACTCTATGAGTTGTTTAGAGATTGCTTTTACTTGAAAAATAATACTTCTAGGATTGCTAATGAATTTTCAGGTGGGATAACAGTATTGTGATTATGTTTGAAAAACTCAGTCCCTAGTATTTTTTTTTATAGCTACATACTGGCATACTTACAGATTAAATCATATGATGTCTGAAATTTGCTTCAAAATAATCCAGGAGGACAGGAAGTGAGTAGGGAAATAAATTGGCCAGGAGTTGGTAGTTGTTGAAGCTGGGTGATGCGTACATGGGGTTTCATTATATTATGTGTCTATTTTCACATGTGTTTATGATTTTTTATAGTAAAAAGAGGTTTATATTAAAACCTGATAAAGTATACTGAAGAACTATTATACCTTACTCTACATTTGTATTATATTACATCCTTGACACTTGTGAGAGTTACACTCCTAGACTTTTATAGATCTCTAAATAAGCTATGGGAGATACACCACTAGATCCTTACAAATTCCCAGTTGCAGTTGACATGATAGCATATAATTTCTTCCACTAAAATTAACTAACTAACTAAACAGCCCCAGTACATTGATCACGACTCCATAAATATAGGACTGAAACTCATCTATAGGACTGTTAAGATGAATTATGTGGCTTAAATAAACCTAACTTATACTATGTCATTATGAAAGTAGTATTAATCATGAATGTGCTTATATTTGCAAAACCAGTACCCAGCTATTTTTTTCCCCAGAGCCAATTCTCTATACCCCAACCCACCCAAAAAACAAAGGTATTCTTTCTTTATGAGAATGAGTAACAAGGAAGTCATACAGAGAGGTAGATGGAGGGCAGTGAGGTAGGCAGTGGTTGCCTCCTGAACATCACAGTGTAATTTAATTTTGTGTTTCATTAAAATACAGTCTGCAGCGCTACATATCATAGGCTTTCACAATCAGCCACAACTTGTTGAAATTTCAAACACTGAGACCAGAAATGTCAAGGATTTGTTACATCAACAAGCATGTTTTATACACATGCTGTTTGCATTCATTTGTCAGCAGTACTTCTTGAGCACTTAGTACTAAACACTGCATGCTGGGAATATAAAGGTGAACAAGGCAGACATGGTCCCTGGCCACTCAGAACTTCTCATCCAGTGCAGAACCCTGGGGAAGGCACTAAGAGATTTTGGCCAGGCCTAAATTCAAAGTCATGGACCTCCTGGGTCATGGTTACTCCCATTCTCCTTACCAAATTGGACCTAACATTAGAAGATGCAGAAATAGATTAAGATAACTGAGGAGTACAAGAGGTAATTACAAAGACATGTCAGTGATGAACATTGGGCAGGAAAGATTGTTTTTCATCAGGGCATTCTAGTGAGTCATCTGGCATGGCTATACCATGAGAATTTTATACGGGCAGTCTGCCACATTTGGGGAGGGAAAAAAAAAGATAATGTGAACATTTTAGAAATTATTTTGCCATGAAGAGTGTAAGTACATGATGTTAATAAACATTTCAGAACATCAGTTTGCTCTTCTTAATGGATTAACATTTAGGACAATTTTCATACAGTGTACGTAGCTTATGTTGTGCTAGAAGATAGTGGTTAAGGACTTGGGATTTCAAGTGGAAAACAGTCAACAGTATTTAGTGGTTGTATGTACTTATTTAACCCCTCTAGGCCTCAGTTTCTTCTGGGAGGCTGAGGTGGGAGGATCACTTGAGCTTAGAAGTTCGAGGTTGCAGTGAGCTATGCCATGCCACTGTGATCCACCCTGGATGACAGAGTGAGTGAGACACTATCTCCAAAAGGGAGACAAACAAACCACCTACCTCCAGTGCTACTGTAAAGACTAAATGACAACACATTGATAGACACCTTAGTATAGCACCTACCACATGTTTAGAAATGAAACTCCGTTACTATTGTTATTAACAGTGAATGTGTTTTTATGGACTGGGTAACATACAGGTAGAAGAAATTAAAAAGATGAAAATTGGTGATCCACTTGACAGATCCACTGATCATGGGCCCCAAAATCATAAGGCCCATCTGGAAAAGCTGCTGCAATACTGTGAAACTGGAGTGAAAGAAGGGGCCACTTTGGTGTATGGGGGAAGACAAGTCCAAAGGCCAGGTAAGATCACCTCTGTGGGGGTTTACTGGGTGCCGCCTTCTTCAGTTGCAGTGGACAGCGACAGTCTGAGACCAGCCTGACCAACACGGTGAAACTCCAACTCTACTAAAAATTAGCCCAGTGTGATGGCATGCACCTGTAATCCCAGCTACTGGAGAGGCTGAGGCACGAGAATCACTTTAACCTGGGAGGCAGGTTAAAATGAGCTGAGGAGATTGCAGTGAGCTAAGATCAAGCCGCTGCTCTCCAGCCTGGGCAACAGAGTGAGACTGCCTCAAACAAAACGAAAGGAGAGGCAACTGGATAATGTGTCCCCTGATGGAATAAAATGGGTAATACACAGAATACCTATGAAGTGTTCCTGCCAAAAAAGCTTAAGCTGAGTCTAATTATACCTTTAGGTCAACCTTTATTTTCATAAGAACTACAATAGGAAGGGGGGAAGGAACAGGAAGTTACTTGTTAGTGGGTATAGAGTTTCAGTTTCATAAGCTGAAAATAGTTTTGAAAATGGATGGTGGTGAAGGTTGCACACTATGAATTTCATAACACTGAGCCGTACTGTGAAAGATGGTTAAGATAGTAAATTTTATGTGTATTTTACCACAATAAAAATCATTGGAAAAAAAAGAAATATGAGATAGAGAAACAAAGATCACGCAAAGGAAGCAATGATAAATCCAGAAAGAAAGGGAATGTGTAGAACAACTGACCCAGTCTCTTTAACATGACAGTGGAATAAAAACTAAAGAAACGACAAACTGGAGAAATGTTTTAGAGTAGAAGATCCTTAAGAGCTAGATCTAAACACCAAATACAACGTGTAGAATAATTTGAATCCTAAATCAAACAAACTAACTGTGAAAAAGCTAATTTCTAGATACTAAGGAAAATAAAATATAAACTCGGAATAAAGAATAATTACTGATTTTGTTAACACTATATAGTCGTTACATAAGAAAATACCCTTATTTTTTACAGATTTGTACTGAAATACTTAGGTGTAAGATTATGATATCTGGAATTTGCTCTAAAATATTTCAACAAGGAAAAGATAAATATAGCAGAATACGGATACTTATTTTACCATTCATTATACTGTTTTCTCTACTTTTATATAGGTTTCATATTTCATAATAAAGACATTAAAAAATAATCTGGGGGGCCGGGCGCGGTGGCTCAAGCCTGTAATCCCAGCACTTTGGGAGGCCGAGGCGGGTGGATCACGAGGTCAAGAGATCGAGACCATCCTGGTCAACATGGTGAAATCCCGTCTCTACTAAAAATACAAAAAATTAGCTGGGCATGGTGGCACGTGCCTGTAATCCCAGCTACTCAAGAGGCTGAGGCAGGAGAATTGCCTGAACCCAGGAGGCGGAGGTTGCGGTGAGCTGAGATTGCGCCATTACACTCCAGCCTGGGTAACAAGAGCGAAACTCCGTCTCAAAAAAAAATAAAATAAAAAAATAATAATAATCTGGGCATGCCAACACCAAACAGAGAAATGAAGCTCTTCTTGGTTTTACTAAGCCAGAGGAAAAGAAAAAAATTATAATGTAATGAAGTGAGAGGACTATTAATTGAAAATGACTTAACCTATAGTTGACATTTTTTTCTTTGTTTTTTCCCAAAAGGCTTTTTCATGGAACCAACTGTGTTCACAGATGTGGAAGACCACATGTACCTTGCCAAAGAAGAATCCTTTGGGCCTATTATGGTCATTTCTAAATTCCAAAATGGGTAGGTTCTTCAAACACAATTTTACTTAGGTTTTGACTAGATAACTCATTTTTTCCCCTCTGCCACTGTGCTATATACAGAGCATAAAATTAATGAACATGTAATTTTCTACCATAAGAATAATTAATTAAATAATTAGAAGTTAGGCCGGGCGTGGTGGCTTACGCCTGTAATCCCAGCACTTTGGGAGGCCGAGGGGGTGGATCATGAGGTCAAGAGATCGAGACCATCCTGGTCAACATGGTGAAATCCCGTCTACTAAAAATACAAAAAATTAGCTGGGCATGGTGGCGCGTGCCTGTAATCCCAGCTACTCAGGAAGCTGAGGCAGGAGAATTGCCTGAACCCAGGAGGTGGAGGTTGTGGTGAGCCGAGATTGCGCCATTGCACTCCAGCCTGGGTAACAAGAGCGAAACTCCGTCTCAAAAAAAAAAAAAAAAAAAAATAGAAGTTATGCTTTTGCTAGCCATCGTAGATCATAGCGTATTTTTGCTTCTCAGCTTCAGTGAATGGCCAACATAATGGGCTTTTAGCTGATTGCATTTTAGTTTTTCTGCACTCGGCATTTGAGATGTCTGTGGAACAAAGCAAATAACTGATAAATAACAAAACCAGTTTTCGCATTTACATTCCTAGGGTCGGTGGCATCTGTGAAATCTTATTTCCCCAAAGAAAGAGTGCTGCTGTAACAGGGGACATTGCCCCCCAAAGCTTGATACTCAACTTTTCATAGACATGTTCACAATCATCATATAATCAACTGTAAATGACATGCTGGTTTGTGATACTACATGAAACTTTGCAAAGAGTTCAGCTTATCAAAGACAGCCAAGTGGTAACTGAGCTCATAAAACAATACTTAACAGAGTGGGGTCTCATGGTATACTGCCCAAAATCTTCAGAATGGCTTTAGATGTATTTCAGCCAATGAGAACTTAAAAACAGAATGGACTTCCTTGGTCTTTGATAAATATAATATAAAAGATTTTAGGGGACTATAAGGCTTAGTGAGTAACCTTTTGATACATCCATCCCAAGATGCCTGCTATCCCATTTCTCATTGTACATTCTCCCATAGGATAGTCTTGGTGTTAAATGTGCAGACATTAGAAGTCAAGTTTTAAGGGAATCTACTTGATGAGTCAAAGCCCCTGTCCTTAAGGAGTTTACTGTCTAATAGGGGAGACAGACAAAGAGATGCACACTTAGTCCACAGAGGGTCAGAGGCAGGATGGTGCAGTGGGTCAGAGGACAAACTCTGCCTCCTCCCCTCAGTACGTCTGTGAGCTTGGGCCAATTACTTAACCACTGCACCTCACGCCTGTAATCCCAACACTTTGCAAGGCCACTGTGGGAGGACAGCTTGAGGCCAGGAGTTTGAGATAAGCCTGGGAAACACAGGGAGACCCTGTCTCTACAAAACATTTTTTTTTTTTAATTAGCTGGGTATGGTGGCACGTGCCTGTAGTCCCAGCTACCCGGGAGGCTAGGGTGGGAGGACCACTTAAACCCAAGGAGATGGAGGCTGCAGTGAGCTACGATTGTGCCATTGCACTGCAGCCTAGGTGACAGAGCAATACCTGTTCTCAAAAAATTAAGCAGATGGCAGTAATGTTTTCCTCTTTTTAGCATAGATGGAAAAATTTCAGAACATAAAATGAGTCTCTTGCTTTACATTTAATGAAGTTTTGTGTCTTCCTATAAACATAAGGATATTGTTAGAGTGTTGGAGTCAGCGAATAATACAGAGTATGGTTTGGTAACAGTGTGCACCTCCTTAGGTCATTCTGAGTATTAAAAAGCCAAGTATTTCCTTTTGCTGCTGCCATCAAAATATGCTTGTCATTCCTGTAGACGTAAAGTAAACAATGTGCAATGGAGCTATGCTGTTTCTCAATAGTCCTCAACAAGAAACGGCATAAAACCATCTTTTTCCCTCTAGTCCATTCTATAAATATTTGGGTCCCTACCATGTGCAATGCATCAAGAAGTGTTAGAATTTTAGCAGAGTCCAAGTTCACTCCAGGTTAGGTTCCAGATTTCTTGTGCAAGAAGAATTTCTTGTGCAATTAAAATTTTGGATAGTCAAGATGCCTTTGAAAATCCCTTCATAAGGCACTACATTGAATCCTGTGCAGTCTCTCAGTAAATTCAGCTCAAATTTTCCCTCCAGTTTTGGAACAGATTCTGTGTCTTTGCTGGAGCACCAGATGAAATACCTGGCTTGGCCAGGTGCAGTAGCTCACGCCTATAATCCCAGAACTTTGGGAGGCCAAGGTGGGTGGATCACTTGAGGTCAGGAGTTCAAGACCAGCCTGGCCAACATGGTGAAACCCCGTCTCTACTAAAAACACAAAATTTAGCTGGGTGTGGTGGCATGTTCCTGTAATCCCAGCTACTTGGGAGGCTGAGGCAGGAGAATCGCTTGAACCTGGAAGGCGAAGGTTGCAGTAAGCCGAGATCGTGCCACTGCACTCCAGCCTGGGCGACAGAGTGAGACTCCATCTCAAAAAACAAAGCAAAGCAAAACAAAAACCTGGCTTGTATTTGCTGGCCATGTTGTAGAAAATGTGTGTGTTTTTAAGCATTAGGATCACACTAGAAGAAGGTGACATAAACTATGACAGGCACATCAGAACTGAGAAAAGAGCAGGTTCCTGTCTTCACCTGCTTGGATATGTATACAAATTAAGTCAAAAGCAGGGAAATCATGGGACCTATTTTGTGGAATAAGCACATGTAGTCTGATTCACCTCATTTGATGATGCAACACTATAGTGTAAAGAGATACATGAGACATTATCCCTGCCCTCGGGGAGCTTCTATCTTCTAATTTATGGAGGGCGAACCATTACACAGAAGAGAAGTTAAGCCAGCACTATACAGTTGGTTCTACTTAGAAAAATATGTGCTACCTGATGATAGCTGCCTTTTGTTGAATATGTATTGTGTTCCAGGCATGATTTGTTCATTTCATCCTCATGACAACTAGACAGGTCCTTTTATTATTACTTCCATTTTTCACAATAAGAAATGAAGGCATGGGGAGATGAAGTCATTTACCCACCAGGCAGTCTGGCAGCAGACCCCTCTCACAGAACTACCCTACTCTGCCGCCTTGACAGTGACCCTGGTGGGATCTGAAACGGCTTCAGGCACTGAAGGAGGCTTGAACCTTGAGTGCAAAATCTGAAGAGATGGAAGGAAACAGGGAGGACGCTCTGAAACTCCAAGTAGAAGTGGGGCCCATGGGAGAGGGGAGGAAGTACGGAGATCATGAGTGAGAACCACTGAAGAAGGCTGAATATGACTTTGGGTCAGATTTTTTAAAATGTTGGATGACATATATGAAAAATGTGATACTAGACTTGTAATACATTTCTTTGGGACTGTCTTTTAGTGGAAGCCTGAAATTTTTCATTTATAAAAATTTAATCAGTATAATCACAATCATGCTGCTTTTCTAAAAAAAAAAAATAATTTAATCAGGCTGGGCGCAGTGGCTCAGGCCTGTAATCCCAACATTTTCCAAGGCCATGGTTGGGGGATAGCTTGAGGCCAGGAGTTTGAGATCAGTCTGGGCAACACAGGGAGACCCTGTCTCTAGAAATATATATTTTTTTAAATTAGCTGGGCATGGTGGCATGTCCTTGTAGTCCCTGCCACCTGGGAGGCTGAGGTGGGAGGATCACTGGAGCCCCAGCAGATGGAGGCTGCAGTGAGCTGTGATTGTGCCACTGTACTGCAGCCCAGGTGACAAAGCAGTATCTGCTCTCTAAAAACAAAAACAAAAATAAAAATAAATTTAAGCAGATGGCAGTAATGTTTTCCTCTTTCTAGTATAGATGGGAAAATTTTCAGAACATAAAATGAGTCTTTTGCTTTACATTTAATTAAGTTTTATGTCTTCCTAAAAACATAGGGACATCGATGGAGTGTTGCAGCGAGCAAATAATACAGAGTATGGTTTGGCCTCAGGGGTTTTTACAAGAGACATAAACAAAGCTATGTATGTGAGTGAAAAACTAGAAGCAGGAACTGTTTTTATTAACACATACAACAAGACAGATGTGGCGGCCCCATTTGGCGGAGTTAAACAATCTGGCTTTGGAAAAGACTTAGGTACGGCTTTACTTTTCTACTTCACATTCCCTTTATTGTCACATCACAGAAAAATCTGCTCTGTTTCATGACTTGTATACAGTTTTGAGGGGCATTTCCTATATGGCAATTGGATCTAGGTTTACAAGAGTGCTGCTTTTTTAAAATATTAAACATTTCTATTGAACATGCCATACATACAGACAAGTATACAAATTGTGTGGGAATTTTTCTTTTCAAAAGATTCATGTTTGAAAGGAAAAAGAAATTGCAAAAATATACTTTAGCTGAAATATGTTTGGTGTTTAATCTGACATTTGGCATGAACTTGGGTCAGCTTTCACGAGACTAAATGGAACCAAGAGAGGCAAAAGGGTGGAGAGTAATAACCAGCAGGTTCCAAGAATAAATCCTGTCTTACAGCTCCTTGGCAGGCTTTCAGAGTCAACACTGAAAAAACCCGGCAATTGGCAGGGTTTTGTGGGAGTCTGAGCAGTAAGGCTTAGAGTTTGTAAAAAGCCCAAAATGTAATTCACCGCGAGCGGTGACACTAACAATAGCTTACTTTCCATGCTAAACACATGCCAGGCCCCATTCTACTTAACCTGTATAAGCAAAGGCAATTATCACATGAGCTCACAGGGATAGGTACTATTATTATCTTATTGTACAGAACAGGAAAATGGGGCTCAGAGAGGCTGGGTGAGTTGCCTCAAGTCACAGAGCCAGACAGGCACTGGCAGAGACAATTCAAAGCCAAGCAGCCTGGCTGAGGAGCTCATCTCTTACTCCCCTCAGTCTGGCATATTGTTTCAAAAACTGAAATGTTTGTGGTTTACTGAAATTACAGTCTGCAAATATAAGTTTAGTTCATTGGGAGTATTTTTTTTTTTTTTTACATTATTTCTTTCCTAATGACTTTGGCAATGTATTTGCAGCAGTAAAAGTAGTTATCATTTTAAATTCCACTGGGTGAAGGTAAGGGCTTTTTTCCACCCCCTTTTCCATGTCTTTAATCTGGTTTTTATGCCTGAATCCAAATCACAGTGGTAGACTTTCTTAGGCAACTTATCATTAGAAAGTGTGGCATCCCTGTTTCACCTTTTAAGAGAGTATTCGACCAGTTTCAGGTCTGTTTTGCTATAAAATACCACAGTTTTCATACTTTTTTTCTCCCCCAATTTTTTTGGTGGGGGACAGAGTTTTGCTTTAGTTGCCCAGGTTGGAGTGCAATGGTGCGATCTCGGTTCACAGCAACTTCCACCTCCCAGGTTCAAGTGATCTCTTGCCTCAGCCTCCTGAGTAGCTGGGATTACAGGCATGCGCCAACATGCCTGGCTAATTTTTTGTACTTTTAGTAGAGACGGGGTTTCTCCACATTGGTCAGGCTGGTCTTGAACTGCCAACCTGAGGTGATCCTCCCACCTTGGCCTCCCAAAGTGCTGGGATTACAGGCGTGAGCCACCGCACCTAGCTTCCTCCCCCAGTTTTAAAACCTCTTAGCTCAGTGGTTGTCAACTTTAGCTGCACGTGGATTCTAACCACCTGGGAGCTTCAAAAAAATACAGAGATACTGACCTAATTGGTCTACGGTGTGACCTGGGGTCAGAAGTCTTAAAAGCTCCCTGAGTGATTCTAATGTGGGGACAAAGTTGACAGCCCTTGTTTTAGCTCAGCTTCCAGAATCACACACTCACTAGTTCCTCCATGATACCCACTGCCCTTTAACTGCTGTAGAGATTGATGACTGTACTGGCTCAAAATAGAAACAGTCAAAGAAAGGCAGGCCTATTTATTTTTTGCCCAGACAGGTTCCCCTGTGTTTCTAACAAGCAATGTAAACTGAATTTTCCTTATCTTTAAAATAAGATTGAACCATATGATGTCAAACTTTTCTGTGCTCAGTTCTGCTTGAATTAATATAATCTAGAAGACAGTATCCTGGTTACTTCTGTTTAGCTTAAATGGAGAAAAAGGCAGAGTCTGTCATCAAGTAGGGAAATAAAAGAGAGGGGTTTTGGTTTGCAGCTGATCAGCCAACACTCTCCACTCCTTAGAAGGCCCGGTAGCTGGTCTGGGCTGTTATTATTCCAAGAGTGGTCCATGGACCACTAGCATCAGCATCATCAGAGACGGTGAGAAACACATAACTTCTGAGCCCACACCAGACTTAATCAGATCAGGACCTGCAGCTTAACACAGTCTTCAGATGGTTAGTATGAACTTTAAAGTGTGAGCAGCACTGGCTTAGGCCACATTTCGTTTGCTTAGTGACCTATACGCCTACGTACACCTATGTCTGAAGGTCTGAAGACATCACGTCTGCCTTTGAACGTGGTCCATCAACTGCTTTTCTCTTCTCTAGGTGAGGAAGCTCTAAATGAATATCTTAAAACCAAGACAGTGACGCTGGAATATTAGAGCAACACCATCATCAGGAAAGCCTTCACAGACAGCGCTTTTCAACTCTGGACACTCTTAAGAAGCCTGGGTGTGCTGAGGCAGGAGGTGTCAGCCACAAACCAAAGAACACATGGATGGACCATGACGAGGGTCAGGCCATACCAAAACACTGACACTCATGCCTGAGCATTTTCTAATACACTGTCCAGTGATTTGAAGTTCTTAGGATTTGACTATACTGTATATCATACGTATTTCTTAAAAAAACCAAGCTGCTTTTCCCCTACCGAGACAAATCTATTCATGGTTTCCATCTTGAAGATGTCAGTACCATGCAGTTATAATACACAAGGTGCATTTATTGGAAACTTTGTATAATATGTACAGGTTTTTAACCTCTGAACCATACATAGGGGAGTTATTAAACAGATTTTCTGTAAGTCTGCTTCTAAGGAACAGTATAACCTGGAAGGAATGTGAAGGTAGTTCTTTTTTAGTATTTGGAAAAAGATACATCTTTGTGCCTTTGATGTTCTATTTTTTAACCCACTGTGATGGGTGATCAACATGTTTTGAGCACCTACTAGGTACAAGGCGTTGTGTTCTGAGGAGTATACAGAATTTAATGACATGATGGTTGGCCCTCACATAGTTTAAATTTTAGTAAATAGCTTTTGAAGTGGATTTTATGTATGATATAGTAGAAAATAAGTAGGCTTTGAAGGCTGATCCTGGTTCGTCTCATACCATCTTAGTATCTATGTGATTCTGGGAAACTTGCCACTCCTCTGAGCCTCTGCTTCCCTATGTGTAAAACAGGGATAGTAATGCTTTCCTCAGGACCCTTAATAGGAGAATTCTTGCAATAATGTAAGTAAAGCATCTCACATTAATGCTTTGCTCATGGTAAGTACTCACATTTAACTGTTTTCCTCTGTCATTATTTTTAAAAGATACTGAGATAGTTTAATTAACTAGATGAATTCATTTCCCCCAACCCTCTTCAATCATCAATTCCTAGACGATTTTTCTCATCCATTGTTCCGACACACTGCCTGATACAGCAGCACTGAAAAATGCCACGTAATGAAAAATGGCAATGGCACAAGGAAAAGGGGTGCTTTTTTTTGGGCAGCTTGCTCGTCCTTCATGGGACGTCTTACTTTCCATTTTTCCACCTATTGGTTCTGCTGCTCGTTGGCTATGTGATCTTGGGCAAGATAGTAATCTAGTATCTCAGTGCCTAGGTTGAGTATAAAATGAGAAACAAATCTCCATCTCAGTAGGTATTGCAAGGATTCGGTGAAATAATATACATAATGCACTTAACAGGGTGTTTGGATCATAGCGTTGAAGAAATGGAAACTATTAACAGCCCATTTCCCGTTGGGAGACAGAAGTAGTCAGGTGAGTACATTTTCACCATCTATGTGTGACCAGAAGAAGGCACATTTTGGAATCACAGCAGTTTCCAGAAGATAGCCAGAGAAATGACATTCTATCAATCCTCCTTTAAAAATAAAATTTCAGTCAACATTCCTTTTTCTTTGGTTTTGAAGATGCCCTTAGGGAATATTTGTCATTTTGGAGACTTGGCAGTATAACATGAGGGGACTGTAGAGAATCAATAAAAAATAAACAGCAAAATCAGAGGCAGAGAACATTTTCAAAGGGAAGAATAGCAAGTTTGATTCCAGCACGATAAAGAGAGTAAACTTGGCCTGGCAGCACTTTTTATTATACTATAACTCATTTACCATCCCAGAGTTTGGCACAGCTGAAATTCTAAGTTGAAATGAATATTCACAGGGCCCAAGATGACAGTTCATATTTAAATAAAAGTGACAAAAGCCGTTTTATAAGCAATCACTTTGAAGTGAAATGTTTTAACTAATTTCATGTGATTTAGAATATGATTTAATAAAATCATGTTAATGATAGATGGAGTGGCAGACAAAAACATGCCTGTTCTTCTAGGCTGATATTACTTTAGCTTCTAATATTCATCTCAGTAGCAGCGTTTAAAATATTCTCTGGGCTGCAAAACTCTTTGGGAATCTGATAAAAGCTATGAACTCTTTACGTCCCACTTCGACCCCCAAATTCATGTGCACACACAGAATTCGCAAATATCTTTAAGGGGTTCATAGACCTCCCAAAGGCCATGCTGGGGCCCCAGATTAAGAACTCCTTTCTCCATAGCAAGTTCTAAACATTTCGTACCAGCTTACATTTTTATATCTGGCTGATCAGAATCAAAGGCTCAGTGTAATACATGAAGTTACCAAGTGAACTGGAATTGGAACATCACAATCCCCAGCCTGCTGGGTGATTTAATTAACACACAGAGTAATAAAATCATCACTCTTGCTTCAGATCACAGATTATTTTGCTAAGCTAAAGGATGAAGCTGTGATCTTAGTACCACGTGAGTCGGGAGGTGTGAACACTAAAGCATTTCCACTTTCCTTCTAATTCCCCATCCCCATGCCTTTGCTAAAGCTGTCCCTTTTTGCTCTAACACCCTTCCTGGCCTTTCCTACCCCTAGCTGGGCTAAGTGTCTCTCCTCAACGCTCCCACTTGTCTCAAACATAGCACTTATCACTTGGTACTAAAATTACTTGCCTTCCTAACTAGATATGAGCAACACTCCCCGACTCCAGGACGGGCCTTCTGTCAATAATACAACAGCTACCATTTATTGAGCACCTCCTATGTGCAAGACCTTAGGCTAAGCATGTTTTAAATGCCATTTAATCTTCACAATGTCTGAAAAAATGAAGATGCTGAGGTGCTTCTCTTACTACCTCTCCCCCTAAGCCATCTTACCTCTTTTTTTTTGAGATGGAGTTTTGCTCTTGTTGCCTAGGCTGCAGTGCAGTGGTGCAATCTTGGCTCACTGCAACCTCCGCCTCGGGTTCAAGCAATTCTCATGCCTTAGCTTTCCAAGTAGCTGGGATTACAGGCGTGTGCCACTACGCCTGGCTAAGTAGAGACACAGTTTCACCATGTTGGCCAAGCTGGTCTCAAACTCCTGACCTCAAGTGATCCACCTGCCTCGGTTTCCCAAAGTGCTGGGATTCCAGGCATGAGCCACCGTGCCCAGCCTGTTACCTCTTTCCTACCATTTTGCTCAAGTCTCCCAACTGGTCTTCTGGATTCCTCTCTTGTGCAGTCTTGTTCAAAACCTAAGTCACATAGTGTCACTCCTCTGTTTAAAACCTGTCAATGGCCCCCAGTTCATTTAGACCAAAGTCCAGTGTATTTACCATGGCCTACCAATCCTGCTTCTGGCTACCTGTGACCTCATCTGCTGTCAATTTCCCTCTCATTCTGTTCCACCGTCCTGACTGCCTTGACTTCCTCAACAGAATAAGCCTGCTCCTGCCTTGGGGTTTCTGTCCTTACTGTTCCTCTTCCCAGGGGTATACTGATAAAATATTTAAGTATTGAATATTTTATTTAATATTCAAGTAAAATATTAATACTATTAAATATTCAAGTAGTTCTCAGAGGCGGGAGGTGGGGGAAGCCCTGATTTGTAGCATTTGCAGTTATCTGTGTATAAATATTCTCATCAAGCCTATTTTTGAGCTACTAATTTGCCTTCACTAAACACAGAGTTTGGGAAGAGATACATGCCATCAGAACAAACACAAGCCAGCACCAGCACACCACTGCCTCCTGCAACTCTTGCCCATACACAGTATCATGGCTGGCGGGCTCACTTCCTACTGTCTCTCCTCAAATATCTGATTAGAATCACATCCCCTGACTATGCTTTCTAAAATAAGCCATATGCCCTCACATTCATACCCCATCTGCTGTCATTCTTTCTTCTTTTTATCCCAGATTATTTTCATAGCACTTATCACTACCTGTTATATATTAATCAATGATCTTTTCCCATTAGAATGTAAGTTTCATGAACAGGTACTTGTTTTGTTTAAAACTGTATCTCCAGTCCTAATATGTAATAGGAGCTCAATAAATGTTAGCTTTCAAATGGAAAGGTTAAGTAACCTGCTTAAATCACACAGCTATTAAGTTGCAGAACAGGTTTTCAAGCAATGAATCTAGTGGTTTTAATCAAGTTGAGATAGTTTCTAATCCTAATACCTAAATCAGGGCCTGGGTAGTAAGCTGCAGGCACATATTAAGTACTGGTTAAACTTAAAAAAAAAAAAAAAAAAAAAAAAGCAAATGGACATTATCTGTAAAAGCTTTTGTGGAATTGGCTAGAGGTAAGGAACCAAATTGGGTTCCCCATACCTGCCCTCCAAGAAAATAAAGCTGGGCTGAGAGTAGGATATGAGGGATGATGGATAAGAGATGAAACATGAGAGATAAGGGGGATTAAATTATTATTACTATCATACAAACAATCCCTGAGATTTTTTTAAATGATTAAATACCCAATTATGTAAAAAAATTTATAATAGCAAAGACTGACTCAACCAAAATTTGTTGAGTCAACCCAAAAATCTATTTGATTATCTCCAAACAGAAATAACCTACAGATGATACTTGAGATTGTTCCAAACTTTTTCTATGAATATCTATACTTTTTTTTTACAGAATTAACATAATACTGTATATTACTTTGTTACCTGCTTTTTCAATTAACAATATATCATAAGCATCTATGTTAATCAATAAACACAATTCTGCATATTTCAATGGCTTTAATTCATCATGTTCTCTATTGTTGGACATTTAGATTTGCTTTTTGCTATTTTAAATGTCACAATAAATCTTATATAAAATTTATGACCAAAGCTATACTTATGTAATTAGGACAAATACCTGGAAGTGGAATTCCTGAATCAACAATTCCACCAACAAGTTCCCCAAATCTTTGCCACCATTGTGTATTATAAGTTATGCACTTAGTATCTCTATGCCAATTTTCTCAGCTGTGAAAGGAATATAAGCATATCTCATAAGGTGATAGCCTTTTTTTTTTTTTTTTGAGATGGAGTCTTGCTCTGTCACCCAGGCTTAGGTGCAGTGGCGTGATCTCGGCTCACTGCAAACTCCATCTTCTGGGTTCAAGCAATTCTTGTGCCTCAGCCTCCCAAGTAGCTGGGATTATGGGCATGTGCCACTGTGTCCGGCTAATTTTTGTATTTTTAGTAGAGATGGGCTTTCACCATGTTGGTCATGCTGGTCTCGAACTCCTGACCTCAGGTGACCTGTCCACTTCAGCCTCCCGAAGTGCTGGGATTACAGGCGTGAGCCACCACGCCCAGCCTTTTTTCTTAAAAAGAAAAAAAAAATGAGGAAATTTATTCTGCCACCAAAAACAGAGCCCAGCAATAGTGCAGTATACAGGTTATTTGATGCAATTCTTTGCTCCTCTCTGCTATCTGTGATATGCTCACTTTATCCTCAAAAGTTGGCTCCATTCATGGACACAAGAAAGAAGTTCCAGGAATCATATCCTATCATAATGATAGAGACAAGATACAGGAAAACTCTGGGCAGAAGAGAATGGGTCCCCAGCAAGGGCCCCACCCATAACCCTGGAACCACAGCCCAAAATGAGAACGTGCATTCTTGTTTTCCTGCTCAAATGTTGCCTTTTCCAAAACCACCCATGGTCCACCCTACACCCATCCTGTGCCCATAAAAACCTGAGCCTCTGCCAATAGAGAGAGGAGAAGAGGAGCAGCAGCTGGCCATCTAAGACTATGGTTGGATTTGGAGAGAAGCAGCTTGACTTCAGAGGGACAGCTTGATGTGTTGCTTCAAAGAGAAGTCCAGCCAGGCCAGGAATGGCTGGACTCTGGGGGAAGATTATCTTCCCATTCCATCCCTTTCCAGCTCGCCTTCCCACTGAGAGCCACTTTAATCAGCAATAAAATCCCTCGCATTTACTTTCTCCAATTTTCGTGCCACCTCGTTCCTCCTGGATGCTGGACAAGAATTCAGGTGCAGGTGCAAAAGGCTATCACACTGACCCTCTACTGAGCTGTTAACACTTAAGCCATCTACAGATGGCAAAGCTAAAAGAGCATGGACTGGAACACTCTTTCTGGGGTTTTAGGGGTGGTAGGCAGCCCCCTAGATAATGCCGTGAGGCCACATGGAGTTTTGCTCCTGCCAGTGCCCTAAAGCACTCACCAGGCTCCTGCACTCCCCTTCCAACAAGGGGAACACAGCAGGACCCAGCAAGTGGAGTCTGCCCCTTCTGGTACTGAAGCACTGGCTAGTTCTAGCACTGTGCACTCCAGTTCCCACCCACGAAGGGGTCAGGGAAAATTTCCTGCCTTACTAAGGTATCTTGTCCTTTCTTCTAAAAGAAAGGAATCCTTTTGTCATGTGCCTCCTTTCTAGGAATGAGAAATACAGTCATGTGTCACATGACTCCTTTTGAGCAATGCAACATTAGGCGATGTTGTCATGTGAACATCATAGTATATTTACACAAACCTAGATGGTATAGCCTACAACACACCTAGGCTCTTGGATACAATAATCATCTCGTCATGTGCTTCCTTTCTAGGAATGAGAAATAGTCATGTGTCACGTGACTCCTTCTGAGCAATCCTGTGGCGATTTTGTCATGCGAACATCATAGCGTACTTACGCAAACCTAGATGGTATAGCCTACGACATGCCTAGGCTGTACGATACAGCCTATTGCTCCCAAGCTTCAAACCTGTACAGCATGTTACTCTACTAAATACTGTAGCAACTGTAACACAACAGTCAATATTTGTATATCTAAAAATACCTCTATATAGAAAAGGTACAGTAAACATACAGTCTTATAATCTTATGGGACCAGTGCTGTGTATGTGGTCCGCTGTGGACCAAAATATCATATGCAGCACATGACTGCACTTTCCTTTCCAAAAGTCTACAGACTTTTCTCAAGCCTCATTGGTTAGGTTCACATCATGTACCCATTCCTAAACCAATAACTGGCATGAGTTTTCCATGAACAGATGGTGGGGAATAAAACACAAAGATTCCAACATTAAAACTTTTGGGAAGGCCAGTCACGGTGGCTCTCACCTGTAATTCCAGCACTTTGGGAGGCTGAGGCAGGCAGATCACGAGGTCAGGAATTCAAGCCTAGACTGGCCAACATGGTGAAACCCCGTCTCTACTAAAAATTACAAAAATTAGCAGGGCATGGTGGTTCGTGCCTGTAATCCCAGACACTTGGGAGGCTGAGGTAGAAAAATTGCTTGAACTGGGACCCGGGAGGCAGAGGTTGCAGTGAGCCGAGATCAGGTCACTGCACTCCAGCCTGGGCTACAGAGCGAGACTCCATCTCAATTAAAAAAATTAAAAAAAAAACTTTTGGGGAAAGTCTACAAATCATATATATCCTGTCTTTTTGCTTCAGGATTTTGACCCAAGATTGTGAACTGATGTTTTTTTTGTTGACATAAAGAGAAGGAAACAATAGTTTAATGAACATTTATTGTACATTCTAACTGAGTGAAAGGCACTATGCTAGGCAGCGAGAGAAATACAAATGAAAGTAAGACTCAACCTCTTTTCTGACATTAGTTTTTCTTTTTTTTTTTTTTTTTTTGAGACAGAGTCTCTCTCTATCACCCAGGCTGGAGTGCAGTGGCATGATCTTGGCTCCCTGCAACCTTTGCCTCCTGGGTTCAAGCAATTCTCCTGCCTTAGCCTCCTGAGTAGTTGAGATTACAGACATGTGCTACAACACATGGCTCGTTTTTGTATTTTTAGTAGAGACAGGGTTTCTCCATGTTGGCCAGCCTGGTCTGGAACTCCTGACCTCAGGAGATCCGCCCACCTCGGCCTCCCAAAGTGCTGGGATTACAGGTGTGAGCGACCATGCCCGGCCTTTTCTTACATTTCTTATCATAGTCATGGATACAGGCACAGTAACACAAACCATCCTGCTAGGCAGTTTTTAAAAATAAGTACCATATTTGATGCACAATTAAAATGTTATTGGAACAGATGGAATATTTATTCAGAA